ATAAAAGAACGAAAGGAAGAAGGGGTTTTCATAACATACCTATAACAGTAAGCTCTTTCGTAGAATTTGATTTCAAGAAATTAATCGAAAAACAATCACGAAAACCTAATACATACCTTGTAAACTTCAAGATATTACCTGTGATTGCGATTTCATTTTGGCTTGAGAAGATTATAACCCATGGAAAATTATTTTAAAGAAGTATGCAAGATTTCATCAAGCCCTTAAGGCTCGGAAGATATTATATAATGGAAAATATGCATCACATCAATTATGACCACAAGACCCTCGAGTTTAATTGTAATGAGAATATAATCATTTCCTGTATTCACCCACACATATATTAAGGATATGTTTATATCAAACCAAAAATTCCATGGGTTCTGATAGTTTGTCATAACACTTTAGACCAAACACGGTTTTTCGCTCCGCTTTGGACAAAAAAAGAAAAAACAATGTTTCTAAATTCACTCATTAAAATTTTTATTCATGGATATGCTTAACTCAAGCGTAAATCAAAGATCAATGGGAACGAATACTGGGTACTATTCTCAAATGGATTCAATTCCCGTCCATGATCTTGTGCATCTGATTTGGAAACCTCTAATGCGAAAGGAAGAGTAATATGCGATGAAAAGTTGTTGTTACAAATCTTGTACATGGAATCTCACATCGAACGCAATGTAATGACGTGAGATTCGATGTACAAGATGCTGGAGCTATGCAACAGAACAGAATGCAAGCTCAGACGCTGAAGATTAGTTCGACCGCGTGCCTCATAGGCCATAAATAGTCCGTGAAAGCACTGTTGGATCTGTCTTGAGCGCAGCACTGCGGACGATGATATGAGGTAGAGGCAGAATGCCCGATATCTGCCTCCTCTGCATGAGTGCCAAACCCAATGTCATCCGTAGCTGCTGCTGCTCATTCTCCTTTCGGGAGATTCCGCTCCCTAGATCTATCCAGAAATCTTATTCTGCTGGATCGCATCGCTCTTTCTGCTACACCTCTTGCATTTCGTGAACTGAAGGCACTTGGACACTGTGAGGAACTTGGGGAGCAAAATTCCTGGAGTTGCTTATTCACTCCTGTGCAGTATTTGTAGGTAAAGTAGACAATGAAAATGTTTTGTGCCACGGTAAATTTTATCTGGAGGAGTGAGTTGTATATGAGAGAATTAGGAAGACTTCATCAAGTAGAACATGAAGTATACCAAAACGGTAGGATAGAGCTATACCCCATTGCATTGCACTGGTAGATATCTCATACTGCAACCAAAGCACCCTAACTGTTTAGATCAATCGCCTACATTACTTGTGAAGCATGTAAATAGTCTCCACCAGCATAGAAGCATCTAACGTGATGATGTTATGTTACTATATTGTGAAGCCCTTTACCTTTAGTAGATTAATTTGCTATCTAATGAACCAATGTGTATAACATGATGGGGGCAATACATACATGTCGTATGAAGTAAGTGAGTAAATATTCCATCCTATATGTGTCAGCACATAAAAGTGGTAATAACATTACATGGAATTAGATTATGATTGATATTTTAAATTTTGGAATAATGAAAAGATCAAAATTATTATATCACTAACCTTGATTCACTTATGAATGAAAAAAATTAGTATCCATCAATTTAAGCCATTGATATATGTATGAAAAGTGTGGTTTGCCTTTTGAAGATCTACTTTCTATTACGATGACCCTTTCCGTTAAAATCATCAATTGGACTTGAATGTTGAGAACCACGCAACATCTCACGTTTTGTGTTTACTCATTGTGTTGAATTGTTTTATTGTATTTATTGATTCTTGGTTTAAACCTGACAAATTGGTATCAAAGTAATTACGTTAATGAGTGTGATTTTTGAGCTTGGTGAGATTAACTAACCCGTGTTGGAAAATTACTCTACTAACACATGTTTTTCATGTTCTATTGGAAAATGCACTTTATCATTGTGATTCATTCTATTGTCTTAAGATGAACCCTTGAAATTGCAACAGAAAGCTTGTAGGTGCGCGATTTAAAACGGGACGGGTGTACAAGTGAAGCGATTGAGTATTCGCGTGTGCAATCTGATCAGAGCATGTGATCTCGTTGCAAGGTTTTTATTACTAGCAATACAATCTGTTGTGTTTTTCTTCCGTTTACGTAGCAATCAATGACGTATTATGTACTTATTTGTCAAATTGTGCTTTTATTATCACTTGTCTTTATTGTATGATTCTTGTTTGATTCTTGTTAAATATATAAATATTAACCTCAAGAAGATAAAAAAAATTCCGTTATAATGCTTTATTAATATCAATATGTGTGTGTTGAATATATTGTCATGCAATAAAATTAGTCAAAACTATGTTGATCCAATTAGACACACATTTGATACAAAATGTGGAGCATTGTAGTTTATATGTATCTTCAATTGATAAACGGTTGATATTTGATAAAATGTTTTCCAACAAAATCTTGACATGTCGTAATTTTTATTTTGATCTTGTAGTTAACATTTAAATAATTTAAAGTTGTTTGTTTGACTTTTTATAAGATAATAAATCTAATGTAAGCATGTTGACATCACACACACATATATATGGGAATGTTAAAACAACCACAAAGGTGTCATCAATCAAAAACAAATCTTTTTGCACTCAAGTCTATAAGGGCCAGACAGAGGCTGACGGATGCGGAGATTGTATGCAGGGACATTTTTAGTTTGAATGCTCAGGGTGCCCGCGCTCTGTCTGACCATCTTGATTTCGTGTGTGCCATATTTGTTGAGGAGTTCTATAGGAACGAGGAAGTATAGCTTGCAACCATACTTGTCTGCGCCAGGAGCAGGTAAGATTTGGCTAGTGTGGATGACAAGGAAGCAGCCAGATGCGAGAAGCGTGACCAAGTTCTTTGATAAGTCATCAAAAAAGCGTGGTAAGGGTTGTTTAAACATTTTTTAGTATCTCAGTGTGGTCGTTTTAACAATTTGTGTCGTTGTTTTAACATTCCCTTATATATATCAATATTATTATCTCATAGTAGTTGCCAACTCACTTACATTTTTTGCTTTAAATTTGTATAAAAAATTGTAAAATAAAATTTTAAATTTCTTTGATAGTTTACCAAAAATAACTTTGATGATATCATTATCTCTAGAAAATTTAAATATGTGATACAAACATCTGATACAAAGATAAATTTCAAAATCATCATATATTGATGAATGTAATGATACTTATAACAATCTTAGTTCATTGAGTCTTTTAATTTAATTTTTATCTTCACAAATGATCAATGAAGTTCATTCTTGAGATATGTGGAAGTAAAATAGTACAAATTTTGTAATTGAAAAACTCTTACAATCATAATAACCTCCGTTGAAATGATGAACAATCTTCTAATTTTTTTCCTTGAACTAGAAGTGTAAAGTCTAACTTGTTGATCACATTTAGTATACTTGTTACTATTAATTGTTAATTCAATGATAGTACCAGAAGTGGTAGATGCATTTATTTCTCGTTAGACCTTTATCTTGTATATATTAAAAATTGTAATTTCATTAGTAAATTGTTTCCATTGTGAGCCATTGAAGTTTAGTCCAAACTTGATGGTTTGCATTCATAGGTTTATGGAATATTCCCAAAATTTCTTGAGTTTTTTTCCCAACACCCGACTCATTAAACTATAATTTTTGGCGTGAAGAGTGTACAGAAACATGGAAGACTTGACATTCTGTCTATGATGGCTTTTGTTGTCAAATCGAATATCAAGATTTTTCGTAATTGACATCTCAAGCACGATACAGCACATAAGCCGAATGGAAAGGAAGAGAAAAATGGTTCGTAACAATAATCTTAGAGAGGTACAAAATGAATGGAGTAAAAAAATCAGAACGGGAGCGAGTGTCTGTTACGCGAAGTTCATTATCCTCGCTCGCATGAACCATACAGGCGGCGCGCTTCGGCGCTCGAGTTTAAATTGTTTAAAATGTAGATGGCACATGCATGCGCGTATGGGGCATGCATGCATGCAAGCGTGCCTGCAACGGGTACATGAGTATGTCCATGGGAGTTTCTTTTCATGGTTTCGCCAATCCGCTGAATGGTCATGGATGGTCGTGAATGATGGGTAAGATGGGATCGAGTCGAGTCTTTGACGTGATGAGCATCATCATCGTCATCATCATCACATTAGCGTGCCAATCGCCAACGGTCATCTGCGGGGTCAAATTCACGGCGAGTATTGCCCTTCGCCGGGAGACGTTCCAGCCGTTGGCGGGTAACGTATAGTATGCGCAGCAGGGAGGGCGTCACCCGGGTATTAACCATCTTTCACTCTCTTGTACGCGCGGGGTTATTCCCATGGACCCCACGAGGTAACTCCCGACGGGCTGCGCCATCACTGACGCCTCTGCTACATTCATCATCCGCATGTGATCTCATGCCACGTGGAACGTGTCAGCCTGCTAATCCTTGCAGGCTTTCCGTCTGCCATCACCGGCGCCTCCCCGTCGCCCCGTGAGACTTCTCCTCCTCTACAGGGTATATCTTCCAGGTACCCGGTCGGCACTCCCAGAATAGTATACTGTCAGAAGCCGGAAATAAATATTCAATTCCGCAAGAACTTATAACCTTCCGATCATATTAATCTGACGGTATAAATTAATCTGCTTTCATAATATGTAACATACCTCGATTCCGACAGAAAGATTCACCACGGTAAATTTACCCGAGCGAGGTAGAGGGTAAACGAATCCAACGGAGCCGGGCTGCCTCCTCGGGATCTAACGATGGAGTGGCCCCTGAAACTCCCGATCGCATGGGGCAGTAGTTTCCGGAAGGCCGTCGGATCGAACCGTGGAAGGATGAAAGTAATGGGAGAAGAGTTACCGTTGTGCGAGAGGACGGAGCGCGAGCCGGGACTAACGACGGGAGCGCGGAGCGGGAGCGGGAGCGGGAGAGGTGAAAGCGGACTGGGCGACGCAGGCGCCAGTGTTTGATCCCGCTCCACTTCAGAGGCTGGGCGAAAGAGTGCGGAGCGAGGGAGGGAGAAAGGAAAGGAAGGGAAGGGAAAGGAAAGGAAAGGAAGAAAGAGAGCAGGCCGCGCAGAGTCTAGATTTCCGAAAAACTGCGAGAGAGGAAGACGAAGAGGGACGAGGCCTCGTCAGTCTGTCAGTCAGAGACTGTGAACGCTGATTCGATTGATCCGCACCGCGAGCGGAGGTCGATTTGGGCTCGTCGCCCGGATCTTTGCTTTCGGCAGCCTCTGCCTGCGCTTGTACACCACCACCACCACCATCTCCTCCTCTTCTCGAAGTTTTTTCTCCGCTTCTTCTCTTCGGTCTTCGTGGATTCTTCTTCGTTTTTGCTGCTCCTCCGGTTGAGCGGGGAGCTCGGAGCAGCAGGGGCAGCATTGGGCTGAACAGCTGCGGTTCAAGCTCCTTGTACCGTGTCACTGGAGAGAGAAGATTCCATCGCGTCGGGCGTGCGCGGAGGTTCCGATTTGAACTCAGGATCTTGGCATTGTGTGTTGAAGTCAGGGTGGTCGAGTTGAGTGAGTGAGTGAAGCCGAGGAGGGACGTGGACCCTAGAGGCCGAGCACTGTTTAGAGGTCCTGGTCCTATTTTGAGGCACTATTCGGGTCATTGTGCTCTCACATTCTCCCGTCTTGACACATTCTCTGTGGAAAGACTCTGGCGTTTGTCTAGTTTCGGAGATCCTCGACGTGCGGAGGAGGTCGCGAATGGAGTAAGCAGGGGAAAACACTGGAAGCCGAGGGTAGCTGGAGTCTTTCAGATAGGGTGCTGGTTTTGCAGACGGACATTGTTCGTTGGATTTCGTGCGCAAAGCTTCTTTGGTAGCCAAGCCTGGACGCCCTTCATAAAAGCCGAGCAGGCTGTTGTGACCAACTAGCGTCCCGTCATCGATCTCGGAACTTGACACTCTCGCACACTGCTGTTCTCTCTGGGAGACTGGGGCTGTGGTGGTATACTCTCAGTTGGCCTTCTTAACTATTGTATTCCGAGGCGCTGGGTCCAAGGCAGTGGAGCCCAATGGGGCAACAACAGCAGCAGGTGGACACTACTTGTGGTTCCCTACTTCGAGAATTGCAGGTTTGCAACGACACCTGCACGGCCGATGTTTCTGCTTTGGATGAAGCAAATGCGCCACGCATCTGTCTGCTTTGCTGAAACTCTCTTAAGATGTAGTCGTCCTTTCTGAGTAGCACGAGAAGCCATGTGACTCGCAGTCGCAGTCTACGAGGGTCGAGTAAGTCAATTGTCTACCAACGAGTAGGGCTTGAGAACCTTAGCATTTGGTTTTGACTGGCTGTTCAATGTTTCTGATGTGTGCACATTCATTCAGCACATTTGGGACGAGGTCGGAGAAAGTGATGCGGAGAGGGACAAGATGCTGTTGCAGCTCGAGCAGGAGTGTTTAGAAGTGTACCGAAGAAAGGTGGACCAAGCCAGTCACGCCCGGGCCCGCTTGCACCAAGCCTTGGCCGACGCCGAGGCGGAGCTTGCGAATCTGTTCTCTGTTCTTGGTGACCGACCCACTCAATGGGTTAGTTTCTTGAGGCTGTCTTATGTGATTTGATTTCATGTGAACTAGTACTTGGAGTCCCTTCACCAGACAGTGCGTCTTGCGCCAGCGGAGACTATTACGTATATCGAGAAGTTCCCTCTCGAACTGGCTGTCCAACTCCGTGCAACGTTCGTCATTTCTGACTATCCTGCTGTGCGGACAACCCGCTCAAGAAGTTGTTCTCTGTCATTTCTAGTAATGTCAACCATTCCATGTCTGATTGTGGGGCTGTTTCATTCTGGCAGGAGAAACGGACGGGCACTCTGAAGGAGCAAGTAGCCGCGGTTGCGCCACAGCTGGAGGAACTGCGAGCAAAGAAAGAGGAGCGGGCTAGACAATTTGTAGAAGTTAAAACCCAGATTCAAAAGATTATTGGTGAAATTTCAGGGACACCAGTGACCGACACTGCTTCCCTGAACACAGTTGATGCCGACTTGACCCTTAGAAGACTGGATGAGTATCATGCTCAGCTGCAGACTCTGCAGAAGGAAAAGGTTCGTTTCAATAAGCCTTCATCTCGAGAAGTGGAGGAGCCGCATGAAATGCTGTTGGTTTGGTTTCCGCCCAGTACTCGCTTCATCCTTTAGCCTACTAGCACGCTCACCCTGTGGTTATCTCCCTGCGCAGAACGACCGACTTCTTCAGGTGTTGGAGTACGTGAACGTCGTCCATGAGCTATGCGCTGTGTTGGGCATGGATTTCTTTAAGACTATCACCGAAGTCGACCCGAGTTTGGATGACTCCACTGGCGGCCAGTTGAAGAGTATCAATAACGAGACACTGGAGAGACTTGCTAAGTCTATTCACTTGCTGCAGGATGAAAAGAAGCAGCGCATTCAAAAGGCAAGCACGAAATAATCGGGAAAAGCGGGCCCGCTTTTGAGTCTTTTTGGCTCGTCATTCGCAACTCATCTCTCTTTTAGATTCTAATTCGTGGATATCCGATAAATGTTGCAGCTTCAAGACCTGGGTACGACAATGCTTGAGCTCTGGAATCTCATGGACACCCCAGCGGATGAGCAACAAATGTTCCAACACATAACGTGTAATATTGCCGCCTCTGAGTATGAAGTGACTGCACCCGGTGCTCTTACCCTGGACGTAATTGAGCAGGTAATAATATAGCCGCTCGCGGTGTTCTTCTGGAATAGTTCTCGAGTACTTTATTTTTCCTCTTCGCAAGTTGTTGCTAACTCCCGTAACATGGCTGCAGGCCGAGATTGAGGTTGAAAGGTTAGACCAACTGAAAGCCAGTAAGATGAAGGAGCTCGTACAAAAGAAGCGGACGGAACTGGAGGAAATCTGCAGGCGAGCACATATGGAGCCTGATGCCAGTACTGCTCCGGATAAGACGAATGCGCTAATTGAATCTGGTATGTACCGGTTTCCTATCCCTCTTGTTTTAAGTAACAAATCTCATTCTTCCGTCAATACTAAATCTTCATGTGCTGTGGGATTTCTGAAGTGTTTGTGAATGGCTATGCAGGAATTGTGGATCCTTCAGAGCTTTTGGGAAGCCTGGAGGAGCAAATAGGAAAGGCCAGGGAGGAGGCTTACAGTAGAAGAGAGATTATGGAGAAGATGGAAAAATGGCTAGCTGCTTGTGAGGAAGAAAGTTGGCTAGAAGATTACAACAAGGTATATTCGAACGTGGTGAATTGACCTTCCTTATGACCGGCGAATGTACTTTTTTCTTTGGCGTCATTTCTTCGCTCCAATCTCACCCAATTTCTCTGGATTGGGTCTTCCACAGGATGATAACAGATATAACGCGAGTAAAGGTGCCCACATCAATCTCAAGCGTGCAGAACGAGCACGGGCTACTGTGAATAAACTACCTTGTGAGTTCTACTCAGCACATCGAAATGTCGTATTCTACCGCTATCTTCTGCCCTTTCTGTTGATTCTAACGGGGATTTGAGTGTTCGACTGACAATTTCAACGATTGCCTTTTGTAGCGTTGGTGGAGTCTCTCACATCAAGAACTAGAGCATGGGAAGAAGAGAGAGGAACTCCTTTCTTATACGACGGGGTAATCTCCTAGCTCACATCCCTCAGCTCATATTTTGATGTAGGAGTTCTGAATTGTTATCGTATTCTTCGTTTCCTTTCGATGGCAGGCTTTTTAACAGAGCTATATTTACGCAGGTTCGATTGCTGGCCATGTTGGACGAGTACAACTTCCTCAGACAGGAAAAGGAAGAAGAGAAAAGGAGAGCAAGGGTACGACTTTGAAACTCGTTCTCCGTTGATAGTCTGGGATGATTTCATTGTTCTATATTTGCGGGGGTCTGGACGGCCCATGTACTTTACCTAGAAACTCACATAAGGTGGCATCTCTAATCACAGGATCAAAAGCGTCTCCAAGAACAGCTGATGAACGAGCAGGAGGTTTTGTTTGGTTCTCGACCAAGTCCCAATAAAGGTGGTATGAGTGCTAAGAAAGCCGGTGGTGGCCTTCGGGCAAACGGTAACGGTGGTACTACCCAAGCTAACCGGAGACTCTCCCTCGGAGGTGCAATGCTGCAACCCTCTAATCCGGAGTTATTGATGCCGAGAGTTAACGGCGTGACTCCTTCAAGATTGAGCTCAATAAATGGAGCCAAGAGCGGCAAGTTAACACAACGACCCACAGCACCATTGAACTATGTTGCCATAAACAAGGAGGATACTGCCTCACTTGCATCAGCAGGTGGGTCTGATCCCACCTCCCCCCAGGCTGGATAATCCCCTCCCACGCGCCTCGACTATTGGCCCGGTATTCCCTGAATGTAAATACGCTTCTTTCATCAACCGGGTCTGCATTGCATTTGCCTGCCTTTTTTATGTCCACGAGAGCAGCCGCTTAGGTTCGAGGCCAGAAGGTACTCGTCTACTGCGACCTCTCGCTCATTTGCCCTATTGGTAAATGGACTGTATGCATTGTGCTGAGTAATGATGTCTATGCACGGGACTGGTCGAAAGTCATTTGCTTATGTTAGCATCACCGAGTAAGTGAATTGTAGCAAAGTCTACATTTGCTAATGTTAGCATTACCGAGTAAGTGAATTGTAGCAAAGTCTAGCCAATTACAACGTCTCTGCATCGGCTAGCTTAATTCTTGAGACTCGTTGTATGAAACAGGTGGATCTGGAAACTTCTCGAACGGAGGACCACATCCGCAAAAGGGAGAGCAACGTTGCCCTCTTTCCCCTGTCTCTGGAGCTGCGCCTCAGTCGAATGGGCATTCTTTTGAAGACAGCTCAACTAGGCAGAGCTGTAGCAGCCCAGGCAAGTCATCCGGCAGAAGTCCCGAGTCTTCACCGGGGCGGACGGGTGAATGGGTAGACCGCGAGAACACCACACCAAGTTTGCAAGAGTACTCTTTTGAGGAACGAAGAGCTAGTATTCTGCAGGGAGAACTGGGGACAACGTTCTGGCAGGTTGGCAACTAAATGACTCTTGCTTTTGAAGTCTTTGGTTCAAGGCGGGAGGATTGGAGTTGGAAGGCCAACGTTTTCTTACTTGAGTGTGGTGTAATTTTGTTAGAGGCGGTGTGTACGGATATCACAAAATTTAGCGTGGAAGCTCCCTGTATGACCTGACCAGTGTAGATTCTCCGAGCGTGCCAAAGTGCAGCCACTTTCTGCACTGCTTAAGCCAACGTTGGTTGGCTCCTTCCACAGTTTCGTAGGAAATGGATGTTTCCAGTGCTGTAACTCTAACTTATCTGCATCATCATCATCATCTCATCCGCAACCCATAGTCACAAAGCGGGGCGGTGGCATGAACGCCGAAGTTTCCTTAGTACTAAAAGGAGCGGGGTGTGAGGTTGATAGAATTTTGACGAGACTAGGGGTTCATCTAGACAGCTTGCCTTGCCAGCTAATGAACGGCACCTAGGACCTCGGTACTCTGAACTGTGTCATTTACTGTATATACATCCAAGTCTTAAACCATGATTAAGTACCATGAGCAAGTGCAGGTGGCTTATGAACTGACTGATGACACCGTCAAGCATGTACCAGCTAGATTAGCTCATGCGTAGATGGCCAGCTGCCTGAGTGTCTTCGAAGTCCCAATCATGTTTGATGCTATTACACTACATCATGAGTCGAAATATAGTCTACGGAGTACCACCAACTTTCTGCATTGTGATCAACTGCGCTCATCTCCTAGAATTCGTGGGAACCTTCAGGCTTAAGATGTAGGAACGAATGTAATATACTTCCCTTTTAATGATGCGAGTTTGCCCATCAACTGTGTAGATAAGGGTGACACTCAGTCACCCTATTTTGCCCGAATGCGAGTGATTGGTGTGATGATTGGTTGGCTGACTGTTCGGGCCATATGTGTTTGCCTGTCTATCTATTGGAAATAATACTATGATTTTTCCTTGGTTCGAAGAATGGATGACTATTTTGGATGTAAATGGTCCGCATGTGGTGGATGGGTTGATTGTAAGAAAATGCGTTCTCATGACGATATGGTTCAGCAAAGTGCCGAGTGTCTGAGGACACTGCTTCGCTTCAATCCACCGTGGTGATGGATGGAGTCGATGACTCCTCCAACGATAAGTCACGATAAGTGCCACTATGTGGGTGGTACTGATTACGCATTATTTCACTGGTGCCTGCAGACACACATTTTCTTGGAAGAGGCCACTTATTTCTTGGAAGAGGGAAGCATCTACCAGCAGTTTGTATGTGTCCTGAGCAGTTTCAAGTTCGATATGTTTCGTTGCAAGTGTGTGATTTGTCAATAGCCCCGACTTCTGGGCGATCTAAATGTTAACTTCACACCCACAGGCGCAGTCTTTGGATCAAATCCCCCAAGGTTTCGCTGTTTAGATTTCACCTTCACATCTTAGATCTTGCCGAACGTTATTTGGCATACAGTGTCAAAACATGACTAAGGACCTGACGTGGTCAGACCTTTAGTTGAATAACTAAGAAGTCGATAGCTTGAAAGTCTTTTGTTCATTACGAAGGCTGTTAACTTAAAATCCTAATTGAACTTTCTTCCACCTTGAAGTAGCTGCAGGTCTCTAAACCGTAGGAGGCCATCTTAACCGCATCTGATGTCCAAAGTCTGGTTCAGTAACCAGGACGAAAAGTGAGCAGTGAGGATGAGTTAGGATGGCACGAACGAAATTTGTGACCAGCGAACAGCTGATGAGTTATCCATTAACCTACCGCTAATGTGAACGAACTTTAAGAACTTCATTAATGCACCCGTAATTTCTCGTAGGTTGAGCAACTGAACTGAAGATACTATCTGTAGTTTACAAGTAAACGTTGCAGAAACATGTGTCAAGTACACAAATGGTAGACAGTGATTAAACAACGACGATTATGTGGAAAATTATTACTTTTTGGTCCTTCTATCTTTCACGTTTTCAACTATACGTAAATTTTGTCCAGCAATAAACAGAGAGATGCTAAGCAGGTCTCTTTGTTTCAGTTTTATATTTGAGCTTTTCTCCTAGAAGTGAAAGTACTTGGGCGTTGCATATAATGGTGAGTACATTCTGATTTCAGGGTACAGTGTGTTGATTGTACATTGGAACAATCATCATCCGGGAATGAATTTGGTATTGATTCTTCTTTCGAGAGTGCCCACTCAGCAGTAGCCGCTTCTATTCCCTTCACTAGTTTATGTTATTGGTTTGTTGGAATAGTGAGCTTTCAACGCATGTGAGTATGACAAGGTTTTTCGCTGTGCCAGATTACTTCGTATGTTGAGATTCCTGTACTGCTGTCTGTTCCACTGTCAGTTCGGTTGGTCAAAAGGACAGACTGAGTCGATGAATCGTAAGAAACTGATATTAAGCCAACAATCTCCATGTACATTTCTGACATCTCTGCGTCTAACAATCTTGACCGCAGGTCGGAGAGAGAATATAACCTCTCGCATTTTGTCGAGGTCAGATTTCCTTGCAATGTGGAAATTTTCACACCTTTCCTACCACGGCGAGTAGTATTATATACTACAATATATACTTCCCTCGAACTCACGTTGCATAGTGTACTACAAGCGGTTTGCACGAGAACTTCTACGGCGAAAGATCTCTGACACCTGCATTCCGGATGCATACAGTTGGTCCACAATCCGTGTCAGCGAACATGGCCTGTCAAATCATGGAGCTACACCCTCCGAGAGCTGCTGCATGCAGTCCTTCATTCGCCAGGACACCAATCGATTCCTCCCTCCTCCCTCAGATCGACATCCAGATGGCAAGCGAGCAAAAGCAGACCAGGGCGACCTAGATCAGCTCCGCCGGGAATCCCATCACGGGTTTCACATTCTTCGCTATGGACCTCAGCTCTTCGACCTCTGACCCGGACAAACTCCACCCCAAAGCCCCAGCAAACTCCTGGGCCTGAATCAGACGAGACCAGGCTGATTAGAGTCCATTCCCATCCACATTGCGTCCTCCTTCCAGGAAGAGCGCACTGTGTAGATAAACTATGGGCACGAAACGCTCACGCCGTCGTATCAGCTATGGCCAATCAGGCGTTCCAACAATAAAAGCAAACGATTCCATACAGCCACAGTGTCGATGTACAGCCCACTACACACGCATCTGCCAACATAATGGATCCATGTGCGAGTGCGGGGGTCGAGAGAATCTTTCACCTGAGATGCAGATTTCGCTCCAGGAATGGGGATCACATTTCCTTGCGCCAAGAGCCAGTTGAGGGACACCTGCGCCAATTGAGGACAGGACGAGACGTGAGCGAGTCGTGCGCCTCCGGAGTCCCGTTGTACCACGAGCTCAATGTGAGCGACGCTCCGAGGCTTCACTCTGTTGGACGACGACGATGACGACTGCACTTCTTGTCATGGACTCTCCTCCGCGAGCTCCGCTTCTGCGGCACAAACTGCTCCGAAATTCCATGCACGACAACCTCTGCAGCTTCATGCTTCTTCCGTGGGGCACGAAGCCCATGCCCGGTCCGTCCCCACTGCTAGTGAATGGATGCAGACATGGAGGAGAGGGAGAGCGAAAGAGTGCGTACCTGCGTCGGGGTCTTCCCTCCATGCAGCTGCCCGATCTCCTTCATTCTCGTCATCAGCGGCTCCAGCTGCACGAACGAACCACCTCCATGTTAGTTGTTACCCGACCATCCCATCCCGTCCCTCGTGAATCTTCCTTCCCGATGTCCGCACACGCACTGCGAGCCCAGCTACTCACCTCCGTCATGAACTGCTCGTTGTAGGTTTTCCCTCGAGCCCCCGAGGGAAGCTTCGTCCGCGAGTACTTGCCGGTCAACACTCCTGCCACACACCCACACACAGCCCAACCATAATTCCCATCTCAGTCTCGCCGCTCTCTCTCCGGTGGATTGCTGGATTGTTGTATAATCCTCAATTACAATGCTCTCCCTCTCCAGCTTCGATTGAATTTCTGATTTCGGAGGTTCCTGCTGTGTGACCTAGCGCATCAAATTGGGCTGGCGTTTGCTGCAAAGGAGATGTAATTGTTTGCGTACCTTGGCCGAGGGGTGAGTACGCAATCAAGGAAACTCCGAGCTCATCGCACGCTTTCTTCACTCCGTTCTGCTCGGGGTTTCTGTAGACCAGGCTGTAGTGCACTTGATTTGAGGCCAGAATGACTCCCCTCTTCTTCAGTTGGGTGTACGCGTCTCTGAGCCTCTGCTCTGAGAAAGAAGAACGAATTTTGGCAAGGGGCAGTGCCAACCAATTAGCTAACTAAAATTTCCTCCCTTTGTCATCAGATTCGACAATTAAAACTTGGCCTTGATAAGATTGGGAGAGGTTTCTCGTCCGGACTGTAGCATGATTAGTGCTTCAGATATTCATGATCATCGATAGGCACAATTTGGCTTCGAAGATTAGTGCGAGAGGAATTGTAGAGCAGAGAGACGGTAAAATGCGGAGCCCATCCAACGATCCACGGCACGGACGATGTGCCGACTGATATACGGCGAATTCAAGAACGATTGCAGGTGGCATATCGCTTTGAAGTGAAAAATGGATGTTCGTAGGGACAACGCAATGAAGACGATCGAAAGAGAGAAAGAAAGAGATCGAAAAAGATAATGGAGGGCAATCGGCAAGCTGCTGCTGCAGCTGTTAGCCACGGGAGAGCAGTTGTCTCCCCGTGGTGGGCAAAAAGAAAAGCCCATGTCGCTAACGGAGAAACCGGGATCCAATCTCACCAACATTTTCCACAATCTTCAAAATCCTCAAACTCAATCCAGTAATTCAGGTCGACTCGGTATCTAAGGTTCCCAAACGTGGCAGAATTTCCAGGCCTGATTCAAAAGAGCAGCAGGCAGCAATCGATCTCTCGCAGAATTGGGACCTGCGCGGACAAATCGTCCTTCGACCACGAATCGACTGCGGAATCGAAGGAAGGAAGGCAATAATCAGAATGACTATTCTTCCCACGTAGAAAACTGGGCACAGAGCGGAGGCCGAGTCAGGACTCGCAACTCCGAACGCAGTCGGAGGCGTACGCGGTTACAGCCCAGTGGAATGTACTGTAAAGGGTTACTCACTTTCAGATCAGGGACATCTGTCTAGCTATGTGTCCGTCCGTCCGTCCAATGGACGGAAAAGTTAGAACCTTAGGTTAAGTGAGTTCGGAAAGCAAAAGCAACGGGTGGGACGACGCCTGAGAGATTCGAACTCTCGCGGGGAGACCCCATGTACTTAGCAGGCACACGCCTTAACCACTCGGCCAAAGCGTCCCAGATGTCAATAAAAAACCCACAGACGTATATGATCCTAAAGCTCAGTCCTCGGAAAGTGATAAGAGGAACGAGGTTTTAATTGCTGATATGTTATGACCTACAATCCCACCGTATCACAGGAAAATCTGAGTCTGCCTGCATATTCTGGCAAATGGGTGGGCTAGATAAAATCTGTCAAGAGTAATGGTAAAAAGTTGTATTTCTAGCCCTTGATTTGATTTTAAGAGTTACTGACAAAATGTCAAGGGAATAATCGGTGTTAATTAGATGGGGCTATGAATGCCACTCGGGAGTATACACAGAGATTTGTGCGTGGATGTAGGAAGCACATTGCAGCTACCGGGTTGAGCACAAGGGAAAGTAGCAGTACCTTTGTAATTGGACACTCCCACGGCTTTCACGAGTCCCAACTCCACCGCATCCGCTAATCCATCGACGAATGCTGCACCGTTTCATAACACAGTGCAAGGACAACAATCAAGCTTCCTTGTAGTCGAGTGCCAGCTCCAGAACTTCCTTCAGGCCTCGGTCTGAACGACCCGCTACACCTCACTGGCTTCAACACTTGGATCTAAGAGTCCATGACGATTTCCGAGGGTTTAGGGTTTAGCACTCACCATCGTTCCCCCACAGCCCTGGCCTGTTGAATCCAGAATAGCCACCGACACCGAAATCAGCATCGTCCAGTGCGAGTCAGTGAGTCTCAGAAACCATCAAATCACTCGAGCCTGCTTATGATATAAGGCCTAAATCAACCTACAAAGGCGACACCACCGAAACCAAAGTCTCGACCATGTACGTGCACCGATGCAATATAAACCATCATAGCTTCTGATAAATCAATCCTCCACCACCATCACCGTCCGGAAAGAAGAAGGAACATTTCTATGGATGCAGGAAGAGGAGCTGATATCCATTACTGATTTTGGCACTGGACGAGGTAGGGAGGGAAGGCGGATGTACCAGTGCAGTTGGTACAAGTCTATTTGCGATATGCCGAGGCGTTGGAGTGAAGACCTGACGGCTGAGACGACGCTACCTCTGCCAAACCTCCAAGGCAGAGCTGCGAATTTGGTGGCCACCACAACTTTCGTTGTTTCTGTAGGCTTCGCTTTTTGTCTCTCCTTGATGAACCTGAGAGTAACATTCATCCACAGTTCTCCGGTGATTGACTCCAACATAGAAACTGGTTATTCTACACAGGCATTACAGTAGAGGCGTACATAAGGAAATAATACTCGTTGCCTCCGAATTATAACGTACCTCCCGAGGAGAGTCTCGGAATCATCACCTCCTCCCCACTGCAATTTCATGAAGCAAAATATAAGTAATGAAATTGCCCTGAATGCAGATTCCACTCGGGAGAAAAAGATGAGCAACGAACCCCGAATTCGAAAACCGTATTAGTCATTTTTAAAATCTCCAAATTTGGCTCAAGTCCAAATTCTGAACCTAACAATCATTACTATCCTTAATATCTTGTATAATACCAGTTTCATCTCACGGACTAAAACATCGAATGCAAGTACCGTAACAAATACGGAAAGACTCTAAACAGACCGAGCTAGACTGATATTTTACTCCACTCAAAAACCCAAATTCCTGACAAAGGTTTGAAGAGTTCCACTGGCGCACCTTTTGGCCATAAACCTCTGCAAAACCCCCAGACACCAGAAAGCGAACGTGAGCCAGGTGGTGATCAGATCATAGTTCGGTAGTGAGGTATTCAAGCAACAATTATTTGCACTGTAATTGGAACTGATTCTCTTGTGCAAGGTCATTCCCGAGACAGGCAACTGGTTTCGACCAATCTCGGACGGCGCTGCACTGCAATTCTACGAGGTCCAGGACCGAAAAAATTCATTCGAAAATTCATTAACATCGAGAATTTGCAACGCAGATTGGGGGCCATTCAAGTCCTCAATTCATGAATTTCGTATGTTCACTCCCACGGCCAGGAGAAGAAAGAATATGGCGCAGCCGGGGACACAGAGACGTTACCTGCGGTGTCGAAGAAGGGCAGGCCTGAGTCCACGCTGGCCTCGAAAGCAGCCTTGGCCTCCTTCGCTTTCCTATCTGCACACGCGGACGTTCCCACCCCCAAGCCGTTGCCTCGTCAGATAGTCCCAATTCCGACGACGCACTTGATGCCTCTACGACGTCGCTAAATCGACATGTTCCCGACTCGGACGACGAATACGACGACTGCATCCATCGATCGACCTACGAGCCTGTTCCGAAGAATCTCGTCGTCCTCGTCCGGCGGTTCTGATGGCGGACTGCATGTTTCTCGACAGCGACCCGGGAGGGCAGTTCTGGACCCGGTGGTCCGATCCGAGCGAGGGACAGGAACGGGTTCGTTCGACAGAAGGGTCGAGAAGGTCACGTACCGTCCCAGCCGCCTTCGTGCCAGAAGAAGGCGTCGCCCCAGGACCACGAGCCCACTCCGAGCCTGGGCACGTAGACCTCGGACCTCCCGAGCTGCACCGTCTCGGGCTCCGTCGACGCTGCAGACGGCGACGGCCATGAGTCCACGGCTTGCGCTTGCGCTCTCGTCCTCGAACTCGAGCTCGAGCCCGAATGCTCCTTGGCGCCGCCTGTCGAGCTCCTGCCCCCTCCTGCTGCCAGTGGGATTCCTCGGAAGCTCCTCTGTGAGCTAGCGAGAGCTCTCGAGCTCCGCAGCGTCGAGCAATTCACGCACGCCGCGCCAGAGCCATTGGCCAAATGGACAGCACTGCCGCCCAGAGCGACACTCGCCATTCCACCCCGAGAGAAAGTTGACACTCAGAGCTCTCGTCCGAATTGCTCGGGGGGTTGCGAATTCGTGTTTCTCGGAGGCAGACAAGATTCGGTACGAGGGATTTCAGCTCGATGGAGCTGGATTGTCTCGAGTCCACAGAAAAGAAATTGCGGCGAGTTTCGGGATTTCGAGTCGAAATGTGGAGAATTGTGTGACAGATTCGCTGGGCGAGGTCGCGAGCGGGCGCACCACCGGAACCGAATGCTTTGCGCACTTTCGATTGGTGGACTGGTCTGGTGGCCCTGAGCGGAGGTCTGCTCGAGCACACGCGGCGGATTCTCATTCGTCCATGAGATCGGACGTGTGATCTTTACACGTGGCGGTTCCGGTGGACCACGCAGAGCATTGGCTTGGCTTGGCTTGGCTTCCTCGAGTCCACGCTCGTTGCTGCAAAGCTTGCAAACTGGCAGATTGCGGGTCCCACGGATACTGCTTGTTCCCGGTGTGGCCACGTCCTCCACCCGGTTTCTCCAGACGCCTGTGTCCTCTAACAGGGACAGGGTGTGAGCGGTATTGCTTATTCGGAATAAGTTTTTCCCGGAGAGATATTAAGCAAAGTTATCCATTTTTTTTTAAAATGGAAAGAATAACCATCAAAATTTCAACGAGGTGCTCTTAAACCCGCACAATGTTTGCAGAAAAATCATACTCTAAACCGAAACTGATAAAAGACATTCCTCTGAAAAAGCTAGTGGGTTGAAAATTATACTTCAGCTTGTTCTAAATTAAAATTGTGAATCCAAGTGACTTAATTTAGAGCCAGTGTCAATAGATATTGATATTCTCACACAACTTATGTCTTGGACGCTGTTGGCTTACGTTATTCCGATCTTGTTGTCGTTTCTTACTTCCAGAAGAGAGTCTAGCTACATGATTGAGAGAGCTTAAGCCATCATCTGTTGATCAGTTATATTCTCCAATTGTGACCTCGACATATTTTAACACCCGGTTCCAAATTTAACGTACCTCGTGTACTTGATTTTGACGAAAGCCAGGAGTTTATAGACACCACCAGAATGCCTTCCAAATTGCATACATGTAATTGTTTGGTATATTTGTTTGCTTCAACACTCTGAAACCAAACGTCTCTATCTATCAATGAATATATTACATTCTGTCTCATGACACAACTTGCACTCATAACCATAATATTTAATCTTATTAATTTCGAAAACCAGAAAAACAAAGTATTGTAATTCAAAAATATCTCTCTATACCAAAACACGTATGTCATTGGATCCTTCGAATGTGTATAAGTATGCACATATTGTAATCAAAACGGAATCGTGAAACTTTGTAATTTTGTTAACTTGGAAACTATTAATTTTAACTAATAAAATGACTTTTTTAACTTTACAGTATTGTTGGTGTTTAACATTTGGAATTTTTTTTTATCTATCTACAAACAATTAATCACTAAAAAAACGGAAATATTGAGCATTATATTTTTGATTTTATTTTCATTCGTGTGAATCAACAAATTTAGATTTTAGAACTTGGGGTGTTCCTGCCGATATTCGAGAATTTAGCTACAAACCGTGCATGTGTCAAGTAGTAAAATCATTTTCTTTACAGCTATTGTGACTTGGCCGTATAAGCGCTAGTAGCACTCCTTACACCCGGACGCGCGACTACTGTTAAGTTATGGTTTGGTAGTTCTTATTTTGACCGCCATGGACAGCAATAGTAGTATACGCATTCACCAGTTTAATTCAGTTTCCAGTTCTGGGCAACCCGTGCCAATTTTGGGGATGATTTTAGTTTATGAAGTACCACAAATCGAGTTAGCAATGCGGGAAAACTCATGCACCTTTATTAATTCGGCGAAACTCAATAGAAGGAGCATTTTATTTGTACGTTCCCGCTCGGAGCGGGAGACGGTGAACGTGGACGGACATCATACATTTGGACGTGCGGACCGTGGAGCAGAAGAGTCGGTCACGCAAGAAGAGTACAGGCGCAGGACGGCACGGACTGCAAACCGAATGTGGCCGGTTTCTTCACGAATCAGGTTATAATACATTTGACGGTAGGCCGGGTTCCGACAAGTCTGTTCCCCATGTCGCTCGAGCTGCGGACTCTACGCTGAAAACGAGAGATCGTTCTGAACGTCGGCCGGATTAAAGCGTGGATCGTCCTCGGGCTTCAGCCATCTGGTGACATCTTTCCACTTCGGGTTCTTGGGCGTCGGATGGGACGCCTCGTAGAAGTCCACGAACTCACTGCTTGCAAATGCAACACACAGCACCCGTGATCGTTAATCGCGGCAAAAATGCTGTAATGAATGTTCCCGAAAATGCTGTCAGCAGTTTGGCAGCCATCGCGGTAAGGGCGGATGGAAAAGGTGTAGAAATGATCGACATCAAAAAGACTCGTTTGGAAATTCCTCTAACCCTGAAGCCTTCGTCAAGTAGTTCTGGGTGGGATCGTTCTTGGAATTCTTGGAGTCGAGTTATTCGATGACGATAGACTATTCCTTTTAAAAAATTTTTATTCTTCTTTCATATGTTACGGTCAGCCAACCCTCGCAGTCATGGCTAGGGCTTTCAGATATGGAGCGCACCTTCGTTCCTTGACCTTGTTGTGGAATAGGAAGCGGACCGTGCAACCGGTGCGACGTTCCTCTTTCTGCTGCCTGGCGGAGTAGGATTTAGTAAGCCTGTGTGCGAAGGAGAAGGGCTTGGGAATGGTATATTGTCTCTTCGGCAGCGCGTATACCTGTTTGCAAGACATGTACTCCGGAGTCAGCTACACTCTGTCATCATGATTTCTATCTCCCTTTCGTTGTATGGCTTGAAATCCCCGGCCCATGTAGGACCCTGGAGATTGCAACGGTGCAACCCTGAGAGCGACGTGGTAACTTGACACAAGTCGCTCCCAGTGGAACATCCCTTTGACAAGATTGTGAGTCCGTGTGTCTGGTCTTTCGCAAGAAATCAAAACCTTATGTGGCAGTGGTGGCAAGGCTGATGGAGATATGCTGAAGATGTGGGGCAACACCCGGGGAGTTTAAAATATTTTGCAGAATCGGGTGCCATGCATAACATATAGGTCGATGGAATCAGGGACGTGAAACGTACATGCTGGTAGAAGATCTTTCTCTCCCATTCCTCCTGATCCTTCTTCATCTGCTTGGCCAAGTCCTGAAGCTCCAGAAATCTTCCCAGGCCTTTGACCATCACTGGTTCTTGATCCTTTGGCGGTGCTCTATTCACCTGAGGCTTGAATGTGCATTCTTTGAATTCTTGAAGCTCTCGTATCACCTTCATCTCCTCCAAGACCCGTGCCTTCTCCTGCAGCCGATAAGGATGAGTACGAGCACATTTGCAGGTCCTTGCATGGTCCTCTGTATTATATGTTCACAAGCTTCCAGCCAATAATTGTGTCTTTGAAAGAAAGATTCCTCAAATACATTCACATTCACACGTATACAGTAGTCAAACTTGTAGACACATCTTTGGCAAAACTTTTGCATTCCTTCAACTTCTGCATCAAGAACTGGGGTTGTTGTATTGATCACACCAGACGAAATTGTCGACGCCGATGTAACATATCTTCCATTTTGTCTGCGCTTGGCCTGCGTGCCCCGTTGGATATCAACTGAGCAGGAAGACAAGCGAGCAGAGCAGTGTAAGTACGTGGTATCCTTCTTTGACTTACGCCACGAGAATGATAGAGTTAAGTCTATATATGACTAGTCAACTCCAGATTGACTAATGGTACGCCTACATTCTCGAATGACCTGTGCTGTTTTTTAACGACATTTACCGTCGCGAGAAGACCACACACAAGACAGGAAATGAGAGCTTCAAAATTGTTAAAAGGGCGACGAAAATCCATTGATAAGTAAAACTTCAACAACATACTCCGGTTCACATTATAAGAGCATTTGTAAGGAAATATATCATTTCGTTCCGTTCATCCTTGTTATCTTTCTGGCTATGGTCGGGAGACTGAGATTTGTGTTTCCCAGAAGCCAAGAAGTGGACAAGTCCAAGGTTCTTGCGACAATAAAAAAACATAGCAGAATCGAACTCATAGATAGGCTACTGTGAAATAAATCCTCAGAAAAGCATCTAACTGGCATATGATTGGTGCGGTGTTATTATTTTTTCTCCTTCTCCTATTCGTGATTTGTCACCTTAATTTTGTATGTGAACTTCTGGGAGACCTATGTGGTAAGGACCGTTTGTAAGTGAAGAGGCGACACTCCAGCAAGTAAAATTTAACCTGCAGAGTTGAAACATTTGCTACTCTTTAACAAAAAGCATAGTGATTGCTCAGACTGTGGTCATTTGATAGTGCATTAACTCGAGTTAAAGGCTTCGTCTTATCATTCATCTGAGCGCTCGGAAGGTGTCTGTTCCTTGTATGAACTTTAGTTCATGGGTCACCTTCATGTCTTGTCTGATTTTTTCGATGCTCCTTGATCTGTTCATCTGGAATTCAACATGCTTCAATCCACAGACAGATTCTAACAGCTAGAGGTAATTAGCGCCATCTTGTTCTAATACAGGTTGTAAGTTACAAATCTGATTAGCTCTCGGGGTGGTCACCAAGGCCTCAGATGAACATTCTGGGAAGATTGGAGATTCTTGTAACTTTGAAAAATTGTTATGCATCGGAAATCTAGGCACTTCTGAAGCCAACGGAAAAAATTCTGAAACTGAATAAGGATTTCAGTGAACAACGCTAAACACAAGTTAAACTTTGGACAACATGAGTTTAATTGTTATGAGGACCTCGTCTGAGAGCTTTATAGATCGCCTGTGACATACTGTACCGATGATGCCAAGGTACGAGGTTTTTGTGTGTCTCCAACTCCCGACTTGTCGCTGCTGTTTGGAATTGGATGACTAATTCTTTTAAGGGAATTGACAAAGCAGATGGAGGTGTTGACTTTGCAAACTTCAGCGGATTAGAAGGATTCTCACTGGGGGTTACAGAGCAGTGACAATCTGCTAATACAGATAGTGCTCGAATTGCACTACAGTACGTACCTTCGGTCGAAAAGGATGGTTCTTCTCGAAATTATCCTGTAAAACCGATTTGATTCGCTCCCGCGTTTTATGACCTTTTTCGTTCTGCAGGCACCTTGCAAACTTGAGCCATCACTTACCGACCTCCAGTGAGATTGAGACAGGTCTCAATTACCGGATACCAGATTCGACGTCATATGTTCAACAGGATGGACATGACATGATCATGACAGCTCAACAGAATCGGAGTTTTGTTTTGGCCTTTGTAGAAAACTCCGTAAATGTAATCATTAGGAAACATAAATTTACACACAGCAGCATTTACAGCATTGGCTGGATTACCTTGAAAAGTTCGTATGCAGTCGAAGAACCGCCCAGCAGTCGAGAAGTGTGATCGATTGATGGCGAATGAGTGAACTGGGCGTAGTATGCTTCCTGCGCGGAGACAGACGATGGAAAACACACGTAAATTTCTGCAATCAGGAACATGGAACATTGGGTGAGGTGTAATGAGTTTAGGTGGTCTACGATTGAGTGTTGATTATGATTTGAACAGCCGTCACTTACAGAAATTTTCCGTCGAATATGCTTTCGACGTTCGGTGTCCCGTTGGTAAAGTCGATCTACTCTTTGCTCGAGTGGCTGATCCAAAATTTCACGGATGGGGGATGTCTTCAGTATCGCATCCGAATTGGAGTCAATATTCGGTTTGAAAGACAGTTCATTTTGCATCTCTTGCTCCTTCGCTTTCTGCAAGCTTGCATTGGAAAACGTATTTTGGACATTGAGTAAGATCTGTTCTTGTCCGAGTGAACAAAAGGACCTGTTGTTGCTTACAACCCACGTTTGTGGTTCATGGATGCTACCTCTTTAACTCTGTCCACTGAACCCTCTATTTGGACCATCTTCACCCACACCAAGAGACATGTCTGCAGAAACGCAGAGCTGCAGCTTTGCGTCTTTGCTTCATTGGAAATACCTCGGTTTCCATGGAAACTAATATAGTGAGGACAAAAGTGTGTACAGAGATATTAAGTTTCAGGTATTTGAGAGGTGAAGTTGGGGCTTGAATTCTTCTTCTCTTCAATTTGATTGTTCATATCAAGATCTGCTGAATACGGTATAATAGATGCCGGTGCCTCGGCTTCACTGGTGAAAGCTCAGAGGAACCTACCTTTCTCATTTCCAATCGTTGCAGCCAGTACTGCTGCCTCGAGAAGAAATCAGGAGTACATCCTTCGAGCAATTTTGATGATCGTATGATCAGATCCGTGTTGCTGTTGATTTCTGGAGTGAAGGTACACTCATCCTTTGGGAGAGTCCTTGCCTGTTCCAGGAAAACAGTGAAGTATTGCCCATCGTGTAGCTCTTGAAGTTAGTGCAGATCTTAAGGTCCAAACCAGTTTGCCTACAGAACACAAAAGAATCGAGGGACCTTATAAACTCTGACACAATAAAGGATTCTTGTGGAATAATGACATTGCATTCTATCTGATTAAATATCGTCATCCCGTTTTCACGAATCTCACCGCCGCATTTTTGTTGTCGTTGTGTAAGGAACCCATGGCTGTTAGTCTGTCCGCGACGTTGATAGTCTCCAAACCTGTCTGTGACAGTATCAGTTTGAGTGAAAACTCTCAACAAGAGCGCTAAACATTCCCACGGTGAGTGTTTTCTGTGGCATGCATTGAACTCAAGTGCTGTATGTGGCCTATGCAGAGGAGAAAGTTGGTTTCACTGTCGCACGGCCACTTATGACATGGACTGCGTCCGTGCGGTGTCCTAAAGAGTTCCTACTGCAGTACTTTAATTTACCAATAAACTGGACCGACTGTGGTAGAATTTGCCCCCATCGCGTAAGAAATCCACATCCATACTAAACTATTTTTCAGCATGAAATTGTCCCGCCTTACGAGGGCAGAGCAGAAGAACTCAAGAGGCAGCCGATCCTGAATCAAGGTGATTTTCTCACTTGCTTGAAAATCTTAATGGAATTTGGATTGATTTCGGGCCTGAAAGTGAGTCCTTTCTGCTGATCTTCCATAGCTCTCGCCATGGCAATTTTGGCCTCTCGCCTTCTCTGCAGTGGTCACGAAGGAAGACTGACAGTAAGACCACCGCGGGCCCAAGCATAGTTGTGGTTATCAGATTAAGTGTGCTGAGATTTGTTTTTGATATGGACTGAATCAAAACACAGAAAGCACAGACCAGAAGCAAGTGAATCATGCCCCTTTTTGAGCCAAACCTGATACTCCAAGGAACGTTCTTCAATCGGCTTGTACTGATTCAAGTCCAGATACTCAGGGTTGGAATTAATCTGTGGCCAGAAAGAGCATTGGTCCAGTTCTTCCTTCTCGATCACTTTTCTCGCCTGGGATCATCACGATTACGACGCATCAGACCGCAGTCAATTGTCTGAAACCTTCAGTTCTCAATCGGCGTGCCACACTGAAGGTTTGGTATGACGTGGACCGAAGTGTTCGAGGAGCAAGAGACTGTGAATCGATTGAATGGGAGTGCCAGTGCACAAACTATGGTCTAAGTGAAAGCATAAATTTTCGAAATAATATTTCTGGCCAGTAAATCCATGTATCATAACCCCGACTCCAGCAAGAGAATATCCGATGCAGAGTAAAGCTGACCCTTTTCCTCAAATCCACTCGTTTCTCAATGCCGGTAACTCGATGTATCAATGGGGCTGAATACTGCGACTGTGGATCTGGCCTTCTCCCAACTCTTGGCTGCAGTTGATACGGACATTGTCAACTCGTTAGTTGGGAGAAACCGAAGTTGTAGACGAAGCCTACGGGTCCTTCCTCTTCAGTCTCAAGCGTGTTCTATGTTTATGGTTATGGCTTTCATTTGTCTCTACTTACTTACTCTTCACTCTCCGCTTTTGTTCAGTTTACGTTTATTTTTGAGTAAGCTGCATTGCTGATATTGCACCTACAACTCTATAGGTAATCAGTGAACAGGTAACGAACTTTCGAACAGAATTGGTAAAGTTCTGCCCATAGTCATTAATGCCTCTTACAATGATTTTGTAATTCATCAATTGCTGGAAAAATGACATTGGTACTTGTTGTCAGTTTTCTGTGAGAAGTTTATTTGGACGAGGACTTCCGAATACCTCATAGCCCAAACCTGTGGGTTACCCAATGTCCAAAACTGGTTGTAAGATCAGCAAAAGGACTCTCCCCCCTCACTTCCCTCTGGGCTGAGGGGAATAAATATCTCTCGCAATCATATTCAATAGCAATCTTTGAGTCGAGTTTCTTGTACCTTGAACGAGCATTCCGACATATGCTCCTCTTCGAGCTGAGCTCTGGTGTGGGCAAGCTTCTGGTAAAGGTCGGTGCGAGGCTTTGACAGATGACGTAACCTTGCCTGCAGATTCGAACGGGAATGATCGGTCAGAGCCTGAGAATGAAGTTGACACCACCCTCACCAGATTGAGGCCTTGAAACATTTGGCATGCACTCAGATGTGGGATATGAAGATGAAGTTCTGCTGTCGGTGCTCACCGTTGAACCCGAGGCCTTTCCACTTGGATATGCTATGGCGTTAGCGCCCAGCTGACCACCTCCTCCAACTCGACCTCCTCGCTGGCAAACATAGTGGTCAACAAACACGCTGGCAATAAACCACTACCTTGATCCAGAGCTTTAATGATATCCTGGGCTTATGGACTACCATAGTAACTCATCCTGAACTTGTACCGGGCAGATCTAGCAATACGAAGGGAATGCGTAGATTTAGATCGAGGTTGAGGATCGTGGACGTACCATAGCTCCGGGAGATTTTCTGCTATCACTCATTGTCCCTTTCACCACCCTCGTTCTGCCATGGACCTGTGATCGGCCGAGCCAGATGGAGGACAAGCATGTGAGGGAGACTCTTGCAATGGATCGGGTTTCAGGTTAGATGCCCTTGGGTTCTGGAGTATATGGATGCAAGAGAGGCGTTTGAGCTTTGCATTTTAGGGGTAGGGAATAGGGTCGGGGGGCGGGGGTACCTTGAATCGCTTCTGCATGCCATCCCCTCCTTGCATCGGTCGATTGGGTGGCCTGCCATTAACCATGTCGAGGTTTTCCTCGACCACGGCACCTGATTCACAATGCCACGACGAAGGAGGTCTTAGGCACCATTTCTGTTCTTCCCAGGTTGAAAAGCAGTACCGTCTTTGATCTCATTTTCATCCACTGTCTTTTGTTGTCCTCTACGCAGGCACTAAGAGCTACTACTGCATACTGGCAGCTTCCGAAGAGGAGCAGAAAGTCTTCTAGTTTCACTCTTTGATATTTAGAACGGATCACTTCTCAGAATGAATCTCTTTTGGAGCGAGGCCTTAGAAACTTTCTAGAATGGTCGACATTGCATCCACTTTTCTGATTTCCCTCCTTGAAGCTGCTTTGACAATAGCTTCTGTTGTTTTCAACTTTAATCAGCAGCAATCTTTGACAATGCCCTCCTAGTTCAAGCGACCGTCCTAACTAAGAAGGTACACCAGCGACCTTCATCTGTTCGGAGGGAACTCAGCAGCACCCAACTGGTGTCACACCCAGAGCGACAGACTTAGAAGGAAGGACCTGTCCTCCCCTGAGCCCTAGTGGTGGTGGGGCCGGCCAGCAGTTGGCCCGCGGCGTCCGGACGAGCTCAAGGAGAATACATTCCCTTGAGAATCCTCTGCACCGTGTGAGCAGATTGGAGTCGACCGGAGCGGACGACAGCTTAAATCAGAGTACGGGATGTGGAAGACCTGCAAGTGATGTTCGTTAGCGCCATCAGTGGGAAGCAGAGTGGGACAAGGGTTTAGATGAGACTTTAGGCCAGGGAAGAGCGCTACTGCAATCGACAGGGAGAGGGGTTTGCAGATATTCTGTGAGGTTTGCAGGCGGTGGACGTCTCGAGCGGAGGGAGGGAGATTTGAGCTTCTTCTTGCTGCGGGCAGGAGAAAGATGGGGTGGAAAGCGGCGCAGCAGGTGTTCAAGCACTGGAGAATTTTGCGCGGAGATACGGTGATGATCATGGGGGGCAAGGACAAGGGACAGACCGGGAAGGTGCAGCAGGTTTTGCGGTCGAAGAACAAGGTGTACATCGAGGGGAAAAATCTGGTCAAGAAGCACATCAAAGGAAGAGGCGAGAATCCGGGAGGAATTGTCACCATGGAATCCCCCATTCACGTCTCCAAACTGCAGCACATCGATCCGGTGACTAGTTCGCCCGTTCGGGTGATCTTTCGATACCTGGCGGATGGCAGCAAAGTCCGCGTGACCACGGGGGGCACATCCTCCGGGAGTGTCATTCCTCGTCCCGACATTTTGAAGGAGAGGAGGACGCTCCTTCCTGTCAAGCCCGGGACCAAGGACACTCTCAAAGAGCATGTGTTGGAGCGCACCTTTGATCCCTCGACAGGCGAGGGCGGCCTCCCGTCCTTCATGAGCTCCTAGATCGAACGCCCGAGACTCGCACGCCATTCCGCATTCTCAATTTAGCTTCTTTCTAGGTCGGAGGAATTTGGGTCACACTCACGGAGCAATCTTGCGATCCTTTCTACGGCAAATTTTGTCTCCGCGGGGACATCAAGGGAGGATATTAGGGCTACAGATTTGGCCGTACACTGCGGTCAATTTGGAAGGAATTGATGGACGTTTTGATCCAGAGCAGCCACTCCCGCGTACTATCTGACTCTTTGACAAACAAACGATTCAGGTCTGTCTGATCGCCCGAGGCATCTTCTGTGCTCTGCACAATGCTGAGCCTTTCGGTGGATCAACAATTTCTTTGAATTGAAGGTGTTTCACGCGTAGCTTCGTGCGTTCTTCGAGAGAAGTTGTGCACATGGGGATTAAATGAGAAGATTATCACTATCCGAGTTCCACGCTTCAGCTCACTACGAGCTGAAGTGAAGCACGCATCGAGCGGTCGAGCATGGCATTTTTGTAGATTGTTCTTTCTGGGTTTAAGGCATTTCATGCTACTTTCAGCATTGTATGTGTATGTCATGGTTCTTGCAGGCAGTAACTGTGAAGAGTGTGTCGATGAAATGGTTAGTGGTGGAATTTTTTTTCGTTTACCTTCAAATCGATGTCTGTCTGCCTTGAGGCCGGAGCACTCTCCGACCCACTCCCAATTGTCAGTGTACGGTTGCGGGGTGTTGAAGGAGAAGCTCAAGGTATCAAGCAGAATTCGGTTCGGTTCTGGCTCGGCTCTGGGGCTCTTTGGGCTTCTGGACCTCGGGGTTTTGGGCGGACTCATGCCCTTCCGTATGGAGATGGAAGAATGTGGAGAGGAAGGAGGCGATGGTGACCCTCGGTGGCGAGGAAATGTTGCACATCTTTCCGTCGTCACTACTTCGTAATCTCCCTCTTCTCTTCGAGAAACCGTCTCATCGAATTCCCCTCCTGACGCGCGACTCAGCAGCTCCAGATTCGACCTTTCCCTTTCCCTGCTCTGTCTTGCGCGTGCTAGCTCCCGCTCTGACCTCGTCACGCTTCCACTCGCAGCTTCAGAGTATCTGTCGCTTTCCACATCTAAATCACGAGGATCGTCGGGTGGCAGTAACCCACTGAGCTCTGACCCCGTTACTGAGGCAGAGCCTGATCCGCTCTTGGATTTAGACAAAGTGTTGGAGCTTTTGGTTCTGGAAGAGGGAGAAGATCCCGGGGATTTGGATTTGTAAGAAGCGGGCGAACGAGGCTTGGATTTGGATGAGGAGTGGCTCGGGATTTTGGATCTGGACGAGGACTTGCTGCCCATGCCACTGGCGGAGGAAGACGGGGAGCGAGTCGGCCCCACGGCGTCATAGTTCCAGTCTTCAGACTCGCTGGTGATGTCGGATCTGCTCTCACGCGTCACCGTCCTCGTCGTGATGCTGATGGACTGTGGAACCGTGCCCGATCTCGACGAGCCCTTCGATTCGTCGAAGCTGAAGTTGTATTCCGTCTCGACCCTTTCGTCAGGAGGGTTGCCTTCCTCGTCGACAGGCGTTCCGATGACCACCTCCTCGTCCGCTGCTATGGGCGTGACCGTGGTGACGTTGCCGTCTTGTAGATTGATGAGCAAGCCCATGTTCTTCCTCCACTCGGGATCAATTTCTCCCGAGCTCTCATCATAATCCCCGCTGCTGATCGCGCTGGGCTCTGCTCTACTGATTCCGCTCCCTGTCTTCCCCGACGATCTCGAGCTCCTTCTGCTGCCGGTGCTGTTCTTACCTACGGGTCAATTAATCTCTTCATCAGTCTCTGTCTCCCGACATCGCGCATAAATGATAAAGCAAGGTCCTAGGTCGACTACAAAATTGCACGATTTAGGTTTGTCTTTGATCATGAATGTGTCACAGCAATTCTGCATGCGGAGAGAATAGGCAGTCGATATCACTGCTCAGCTTTCCAGCCCAAGGATTAAAAGATTGGGCTAAAAGCGAGCCAACGAAGGAAGGTGGTCTTGTACATTGCGGAGGTTTTGGACTGAGCAGCGAAGCCAGAATTGCAATGGAGTTAGGATAGCATAAACTAGGGAAGAATCCGAGGGTTTAGAGACTAATCAGCAACCATCGGTGTGGACGGTGACATGGCATACTGAAGACAGTTTCACTAGGTTCCTATCCTTTCCCGGAGAGGATGGGAACCCCGCCAGCTCTGACCACGAGGATCACAAACTAGCACTCGACGCCGACCTCGATCGGTCGAGTCGTAGATAGATCGGGGGCGAGCAATTCTCGAATGCTACAATGTCAAGGCAAGAACCTTCGAGGCATGTCGCATGGTACAGGATGGGCGGGTCGATGGACAGAAGCTGCTCGCAGCGGCGGATACTCTCCTCGATCTCCTTCTTGAAGTCATGTTGGTGATCGTGAGGGCACGGCGTCTTGCCATCACCCGAGGAGCTCATCGCGATGCGTCTGTCACTCCGGACCACCCTCGACCTCCACCTCGACCTCAATCTCAAGCTTAACCTCGACCTCGCCGAGCCGACGATCTGCCATATCCCACAAGCACCAGCACGAGCCCTCCCCTCCCCTCCCTTCCCTTCCCTTCCCTTTCCTGCTCTGGTCCGAGACTAGCGCGACTGCATCAGTCCCATGGAACCTGCCTCGATCCTCGATCCTCGTCCGTCTCTCATCATCGTCTAGGGTAACGTGAACCGGAAGCCGCTGACCATCCCTTCCATGTTCTCGGGACGTTCATCTTCAGCGAGAGATCCGAGCCTGGTTTTCGCCCGCGCTCTCCCGCGTGGTTGAGCCACGCAAACGGTTACAAGCTTCAAGCCTCGTAACAGAAGGCGGGCCTGCTTCTGCAACGGAAAATTCTTCAGTTAAAGCGCTCGTCCTTCACCGCCTCGAATCATCTCTCGTCCCGGGGCGATAATCATCGACCGGGCCTGCAACAATTTCCCCGCGAAGCCAGCCTCGCGAATTCCCTCCTCGATCTCGTCCCACGCCCATCTCTCGGGGCCTCCCTCGTGACCTCAGTCAGCTGCAGCAATTGCACGTCTCCCATCGCTGTCCGAGTCTGTCGTGATGACAATCTGCTGAGCATCGGAGCAATCTGCTCGTCCTGCCGATGAATGTCGTCTCAGTACGTACTCCGTATACAATACAATATACGACTGCTGCTTAAAGGACCGATGCAGCACCGCCGTAGTGCCCTCCTCCTCACTCTGCGATACACTCGCTGTCGAGTCGTCTCGGCCAATGTGAACGGAGGCCAGCCAGGAAAGAGGTATTTCGCGGGCGGAAAATGTCGACTTTGCGTCCCCATTGCACCGCCTCGTGATCCGGTTCTTTTACATGCGTTTCGAATTTTCGAACACTGCTCGAGGTGCCCTTCACGCGAACGAAGGGAAGCCCTGCAGTTGAATTTGGAGACAGCGTTTGAATTTGAAGCTCGCCTTTCTTGGCAGCGCGCGGGCCTTCTTCAATGGCCGCGGACATTTCGATCGAACGATTTCGTTCATTCTTTTGCGTCCACGATTCTTTATTACGAGGCTTTGTGCTGACGAGCAGCTTGGACTAGCTCGCCTCGGCGTGGCCTCTGCGGGAGACTTCGCGATTGTACAGAGCGAGTGTTGGTGAAGTCCCTATGAGATGATACGATTGGGCGAATATGAGCCCGGATGGTTGCGCAATTCCGTCGACAAGTTTACACGATTGAGACCTTGATATGAGCTGCAGTGTGATCATCAATCGGCTGTTGTGATTTGATGTGATAAGATGTGGTGATGAACTCGGGCGAGCATTAGTTCGACAAGTTCGGCCACACTCGAATTGACTCGGACATCATGAAGGCGACAAAGCACATCCGCAGGCTACTTAAAGATCTACAAGTAACGGATATGCCCGGCCTACTTGAGTGTATTCTTGGCTTCAAATGGAATGAATAATAACACATATAGTGTTCGAGTCCTTCTATAGCACGGCACGAGTTCTGAAAGTACACCGTATGAAGTCGCCGATAGCCGAAATAGGAAAGAAAAACTCTTCGCAGAGTGAATCCTCGCATATCCTTGCAGTGCATATGGCAGTGCCATATGCACTGCTCTATCACTTCCGACATGAACGCAAGGACGGCAGTGCATGTGGCACTGCCGTCTCCATAAAAGTCGTCTGTCTGTCTGAGCAAAACGACTCCGTATTTTCATTGATTTGGGTCCTGACCCCAGGAACTGGCGGATTCTTCTATGGCTGAAGAAGACGGGGAAGACCGAGCTCAAGATAAAGAATTGCCAGCAGAAGATATAAACCTCTCCAGCGTAATCCTCTTGCCTTAAACAGAAACTCAAGTAGGTGATTGGAGTGGTAAGTTCAACATCCGCTCCGCATCGTTGGGTTGAATTAATGGACGCTTGACTCTAAGTGCTTCATCCACAAAGGCTCAAGACTCTATTTACGGGTCGATCGAGAAGTTGTTGAGTGCATACAGTTCAACTGTCTCTTCTCCTCCTCTCTTCTGCACATTCTTTGAAATATAGTCAAACTTCTCCTTAAGTATCCATAATTCTTCTTAAGAGAGTGCTTCGCCTGAAACTTCCAAACTTTTTGATTCGGACTTCACATTCCCAGGCCACAACGAGTGAACCAGGAGATTCGAAGACTACGCCGATGGATTCGTCCAGCTCTGAAACAGACACGAGTACTACGTCAGAGAGTTTCGCCTCAAGTAAGAACTTGTGTGCTCAGATGGAAAGCTCGTTGCACATGTTCTTCGGTGCAGATTTCTCTATGCGTACTTCACAGAATTTTGAAGGACTCACAGACAGCACGCACTTTGTGCATTGCACTTAAATCCTCCATCGATCTAAAGTTGAAATGCTGTAGGAAATAATGGTAACTGCGTTGTTGGCAAAAAGACGCATTGCGTAGTTCTCTTTTCATTGGATCATTCTGTTTTTTTCATGATCCTCCATTCTACAGGAAAATGTCGAAAGCAATCTCACTCCACATGCATGAAAAATTACAAGACGACTGTAGCTTGAATCAAGTTGAATCTTGCAGAAGTTCTTCATGACGAGGTGCAAAGACTGGTACGACAACTGGGTGATAGTCGAGTTCTTGTCGCTACACTTCAAGCGGAGATTGAGATGGTCAGACTGGAGAAGGAGGAGGATCATCAAAATGATCATCTCACGATCCAAAGGTAGTCACGAGCGCCAAATCACCGCAGAACTCGTATCCTGGCGCAAAAGGTTAGACGAGTGAATGCTCTACTAAATGGTTCAGCTCCCGCGTGACAGGTTAGAAGCAGAGCTAACAAGGTTGGAACAACAAGCACAAGTTGACATGGCTGGACTCAAAAAGAGACAGCAAGAGGTAACAATGCCTCACCTCTTGGGCCAACCTATCTATCTACTCAACACACAGACTCAACAGTTGATCATGGCTTCTGGCCGGTTCTGTTCCTTCCCAGATAGAACTTGAGATACCAGCGATGGAGCAACAATCGAAGTGCCTGAAAGAGGTCTTGCACGATCTCAACGTATCAGAACCCTTGTGAGTCATCGAAGGCACTTCAGTAACAAGTGTAACCCTCACACCTTGCAGACATTGATTTTTATAAGTCTCGAAGTCTTCGTGAGCTTGAAACTCATGTTCACTTTACCTAACATCTCATTTCTTCCCACATTCAACACAGATATGAAGAGCTACTAGCTATTCCGGAGGATAAGCGGAGTTTGAAGGCTCATCTTCAAATTTTAGCGTATGAGAAGTTGAAGGCATTCCGGGAGGAGATTGAGGCCTTAAGAAAGGAACGAGACAACTCAAGGTAATTATAAAGCATGTTAGACGATCGAGGAAAGCGTGCCTTGATGGATGTAAGTTCATATAATATAATGTATTCTAAGATTCTTATATCCCCCATGCATTCTTCTTTCACGATCGTTGGTCCTGTTTTACACTGTACAACATAGGGAATACTTGGGCCGACAAAACGAGGAAGTGGAGAGAATGCAAAGAGAAGTACAGAGAATATCGGCTGCTGCTGCAATTGCTAAAAGGGATCTTGACAAGGAAATGAGTGCTGTGGCGGCTCGCAATGAGAGATTAGAAGCGGAATTAAGAGAAGCTCTGGTGAAAGTGGAAGTACTGTCAGCCAAAGGGTCTATGTACGATGAGGTCTGCATAGCGATGTCACAATAGCATATCTGCAGGCTTTGGTTCAGCATACAGCCCAACCTTAACTTCGCAAAATGGACTTCTGTACATCTCATGTCAACATGTCTAATATTCTCATTGTCGGTTTCTAATCCTCTCCAGGTCAAAGAGAAGCTGGACAAAGCAGAAGGAAGCATTATCGATGCAGAAAATAGTAAGGCAGTGATGACAGCTACTTTGCAAGTTGTCACTGATGAAAAGCAAAGACTACTTGAAGTGATCAAAGATAAAGACCATTGTTTGGATCTTCTCAGCATGGACAAAGTGAGTAAGATTCTTGAGACTGTAACCATATTGAAATCTGTCATTCTTGAAACAGCGAGGTCAAAATTCATTCATCACTCCATCAATTTAATCGTCAAGACAATATTTTTCTGCTCACTAAACTTGTAAGCAGAACATAAGTTCACCTAGCGATGTCAAAATGCCAAAAGGGAGAATGGACGGGATCTGTTTTGAGAATCTCGACCAGGTAGTCTCCATCATAAATATTGTATATGACGGTCAGATCTTCAGTCAAGAGGACAGTAACTCGTCACAAAAACAAAGAAAGCACTCAACCATACTTTGTGTTGGGCAATTCTTCTCGACTACTAAATACAAGCTCATTAGAGTCTGACTCTATGCAGATCTATCTGAGCCGAGAAGTCAAGGCACACTTGGATCAAGTGAAGAAACTAGAGCAAGAGCTGGAACATCAACAAGAGAAGCTACGGTCACTGAAAAATACAAGACAAGAGCTGTATAATCGTGTCCTATCAGATAGTAGAGACACTCAAGCTGCCCACGAACAGCGTTTGCAAGCAAGTATCTTCAGATTTACTTGCATAGTCCACTATTTATTACAGACTGATGCTGTCAATCCTATCGTCAAGAAACTCACCTTGAACTCTACTGCAGGTAGAGTTAGCGAGGCTTCAAGAAAGAGCTAATCAGGATATCGAGCACATAAGGAAAGAAGCAACTGAAGTTGCAGACGAAAAAGTGAAGTGAGATATCTTTCTACACACTGTTCATCCATTTCAGTCGTTTGAAAATCTTTATAATGCACCCCATAACGACTTGAGTCTAAACAAGGAGTCAGGTGACTGCACAAAGTAACCGAAGGCTCACAAACTCTACAGGACTTTCCGCGAGATGAGAGACGCCGCACTATCTGAAGCTGAACGGCTTCAGGTTAATCTCAGAGAGAGCAAATCCGTCCACGATGAGCTTCTTACAAAGTAATCGTCTTTTCGCTATAGATCGCTTCTCTCGAGTCCAGTCTGCATTTGGAACATTAATTACGCGAGGTTTTATGGGAATATATGCAGTAAATGAATTCAATTTTAATCCAACTTCGTTATAAAGTAAAAAGAGCGGCTAAAATTATTCGCTTTAGGCGACGGTAGACACTGATCAACGTTTGACAGTTCGGTGAACGAGGTCATAATATTCTTGAGAGAAAGGTTCCGTAGTATTCCTGGATAATTCCGTTTTGAAAAACTGCATTTCTTACTCGGGTTCTCTCCCAGATACCATGAGCATCTTCGAGTGTCAGAGGCCAAGGAAATCGAAACTAGAAGTCTGATTAAAGTCCGAGATTTCGAGCTCGAGCAACTGCGTGTTGCTCAACAGGAGATAAAATGCACGATGAACCAGAAATCTATCGAAAATGAAGCACTAGCAGAAAAGGTCAAGGTAAAGTTCAGGTGCTCCGATCTTCTAATGCCATCTGTTCGGTTATATCAGTTGCAACTAGAAAACATTTCTACTCGTTCCATGATCAATTTTATCCTTGATTTCTCGATACACAGTTCCTTGAAGGAGAATTTTGCAGGACGCTGACATGGTTTCTGTGCAAACCAGATTTTGACCGAGAAATTCCATATATATGAGATGGAGTCAGAGAAATCTGCTTTTCTATTAAGAAATGAGCTTGAGATGGCACGTCGCAAGTTGAAGAAGTATGAAAGTCAAGCTCTTGGTCTCCGCAACCCAAGTAATGCATCCTTCCTTAATCCCTCTCTCTCTCTCTCTGAGGACGTAAAAAAATATTTATATTAAATTACAAGACTGGAAGACTGATCCTCGAATCTACAGCACTTGGAAGAGCCATCAATCCTCCATAACTACCACACTTTTCTCCACAGTGATCACCATATCTGGAGGTCTGCCAGAACGCCTCGCTCTTCTTCATTACACTGCACTTGCTGCTCGAAGAAAGCGCGAAGCCGGAATTTGGCTACTGAACAGTCCCGTAAATACCCTGCCAAGAGAACTATGTCTCCGAATGCTGCTGGGGTATTGTACCAGGAGCTAGCAATACTTGGAATCTATTCTTCTAACCTGGAACAGACGCACGACGCTGAAGACTTAAAGGAACGTCGAAAAATTGCTCCCCGTTTGATTACTTGTCATTTGTAGGGCTTCCAGGCCAGAATTCCTGCCCTCAATTCTTCTGCCACAGCGGCTGCCCACGCATCGAGGTCCGGAACATCACCTGTAAGAGCCAGAACGTTATCGGCCTCGGAATTCTCCATCTTCCGCCAGTTCAACTGACCCGGAAAGGAAAGAGCCATGGCAGCGAGAGTAGCATCTTTGCTGGCCGCGCCATCCTCCCACGTCCATGTGCCGTTCTCGACGTCCGACTTGCTGTCGCTCTTCTCGACGCAGGCACCCCCGCAGTTCACCATAATGCGACCTCCGGGCCGCAACCTGCTCTTCAACGCGAGCCACGTCTCGGGATCTCGGAGCTGCGGAAGCACTTCGCCCTCCGCGAACAAGTCGACGATAATTCCTGCAAATCCGCCATCGACACTCGCCGTGTCCGCCAAAGCGTCACCCACGTGAACGCGCAGAACTCCTCCATCGCCGGTGGGCGATTCGAGCTCCGCCAGGCCCAAATGCTCGCGAGCATTGTCGACCAGAATCTGATCGATCTCGTAGCCCTCGAGCTTCAGCGATGGCCACAGCTCCAGCAGCAGGCGCGCCGCCGTGCCGCCGCCCAGGCCCAGAATGGCCACGGGGCCGTCGGGAATCACCGCCGGAAACGCTGCGAACTCGTCCCAGTAGGATTTGGTCCAGGCCGTGGCGCGTCGGTACACGCTGTGCACGTTGCCGGAGCTGTCGAGCAGCAGGATCCGGCACCCGGCGTAGTGGCTCGGCGAGTCCTCGGCGCCCTCCAAGATCACGATGTTGTTGTACTGGCTCGTCCAGCTGGTCAAGCATTTGAACGGCGGCGGCTCGGGCTTTCGAACCTCAACGTCTTCCGGCCCGCTCCGCTCCACCTCCGCGGAAGCATTCGCCCCTGCGCTCCTCCTGCTGCTTCTCCTGCTGCAGATTTCGGAAGCAATGTGGAGCTTGCTAGAGGAGGAGGAGCTCGCCTCGTGCCATCGCCTCCTGCACGAGAAATGCAGCACATTGGACCCACCGACCGACTGTGGCCCGCTTCGAGTCTCATTCGGTCTCCACCCCGACGGTGCGCACGGCGTCGAGCAGCGAGCTGCGTGCGAGTGCAGCATTTCTGCGGCCTTCTCTCGCCTCGGTCAGAGTTTCTTGGTAACGACCAACTGTCACATCCACACCCGAGGAATGGATTCCAGCGACGGTGCCGGAGTTTGAGACTCGAAGCCCAGAACTGCGGGTGATGCTCCTGTCAGAATCCTGCGTAAGCGATAAACCCTCCGTCCTCCAATCATAAGTCTCCCTTTCGAGAGCGGCACCTTGCGTCTATAAATGTGCTAGTTACGGTAAACACTAATAGAAGTGGTGGGGTCCCCACGAGTTGTTTACCTCTTCAGCATCCTCGGATAGTAGAGTCTAGTGAACTCCTGAATGTGTTGGGGTGAGCATTGGAGTGTCTGAAGCTTAGACACTCCAATACTCAACGAGGGTTTAGAGTTTAAACCCTCGATGAGTGCATCATTTCTGTTAGCTTAACGTATCCTGAACTGCCGTTAGATAAGTCATTCGACATTGCTGGGATCTGAAGAGGGGAATGATTGTTGCAGGTACGGAAGATGGAGGAGGTGGACTACAGAATCACGATGTAGCCTGCACAAGTGGTGAGAAGGTTGGACCGGACTGCCTAACCGTGGTCAAAAGAAGCGCATCTGCCCAGACTTCCGGACGAATATCGCCTCGTGAACATGCGCAAAAGGTTGGTGTTTTGGTCATCCCTGCAACGTTTGGTATGTGATATATCTTACTGAAAGAGATTTAAAATCATCGTTGTCGGGCAACATGCCTGCAAACAGATAAGTCTAGAATACTAAATGTCATTTCCTTGTAATCCTGTGCTGCATTTAATTGTGGTCTAGGTTATCTTGTCGTGGCACCTAACTTGACGTCTTCTCGTACTTGTACTGTATGGGACACAGGTGGCTCTCAAGCAGGTGTATACTCTCAGCGTGACTCAAAACAACGAGAAAAAAGTGCTTGCTGTCGGGCAATCTCTCCCCACTTTGCAGAACGCGACAGAGTAAGCCCTTATTCAATCTTTGCCTATCTTTGCCTGCCACTTTGACTTCCTGGTTTCGTTATCGGAATGGTTATACACTTACTGATAGAACCCTAATAGGTGCACATGACATTATCCTTACAGGGTACTCTTCGACCATGGATCCTTTCGTAGCCCACCACCCAGAATCTCCATTACAAAGGCTTTGTGAAACCAAATATTCCACCAACTTCTCCTGTACGTTCAGTCCTGCCTTACTGTGCTCACTATTTAAGTCCTGATTTCCGTAAACTCTATGTTACTTCAGGAACGAGAGACGAGATGACCAACATGATTGTCAGCGGTTGCACAGATTACAACTCGACTTGAGGAGAATTTTGGAGAGCAGAGGAACTCTGGAAAATTTCCAGAATCTCCTCAAAGAAAAAGGAATTCACATTTCGGACAGTGTCCTTAAGAAAATCACTAGAGCAAAAGGAGCAGAGACTACTACTTGACATGTACAATCATCAACCGATTCGGGCTATCGAGGTATTAAAATGCCTCGGTTGACAGACCTCGAGTGCCACACATTTAGCCTTCCTCCGTTACGGATCTCACCTGTATAGTAGATGTATCTCATATATTGGACTTATTGACAAACGTAAACACGATCATCTCGGCAAATGAGTACCAAACGGCAGATAGTGAACTATATGTTAGTATATCAAATTTTCAGATCATTAATCACATTGAGAGATGAATAAAACAGCAGACTTCAATTGTTACTCACAGTATTGCAAAAGACTTCAGGTACGTATACTTTCATCATGTCCTTTATTACGCCTACAAAACTGTACATATGTGTTGATATTCTACGTGAAAATTATGAATAATGCTCATTTCTCCGATAAGGTCCGTGTTCATGCGCACTTGTGAGATTGGAAATTTCGATGCTCCACTCACTAGTAATACTCCGACTGCTTCTGAGCTATCTCCTCCTGCGCGTTTCAATTTTCGGAATCAACTCAAACTCCACAACGAAGAAGTAGTCGAAATTTCACATTACAGAGTCTTTCAGATATAAAACAACTTCCTTCCTTCGCTCCATCAACAGATCTTACTTAAATGAACCAGAACTTGACCCTATTGTCTATTTTAGGACAAGAAGAAATGAACTTTCACAGCTGAAACGCTTTTCCTGCTCACACACGCTCGAAATTAGCTGAAAAAAATACCGTACACATTCAGAGCTAGAACGAGATGGAGAAAAAAGATAAGAACACACCTGGAAAACTTGTTTCAGATGATCAAGCTCCTTGTCAAGATCTGTCACAGCTAAGTTGTATGCTTGCATGGGGGAAGATTGGCTTGTCGTTTGTATCTGTCAATCACAGCATGTCTAACCATAAACAGTAGTCCTGATACAAAACGCTATGCGACTGCCCGCCCTTACATTGAACCCAACGGCATAATGGTGATATCATTCAATAGTCGAATTTTTCTCAACGAACCAAATACAGGAAATAAGGAGTCGTACAGTCGATAAAGCATCCATAAATCCTACCAAAGATTTACAGCAGGTTGATAAGAGGCGTGTCATCTCGTATTAACAATGTGCGTTGTGATCACTGTTATAGGCTGACGTGAACCCGGAATAATATCCTCACGAGCTTATCACGAAACGAAAGGTTCTTAGAGCAAGACAAGAGCTGCTATCCGGAGATTACCTTGATGACCAACTTGTACTGCAAGGGGTGAGGGAGTCTGTATCCAGCAAAGAGAACACTCGGATCTCGGTGCAGTTGCCTGAAAAAATACGAACATCGTAGAATGAGCGAAAACGCATGCTCGACCTTGTTTCAAGACTTAATCTTTATGCTCGTTCGGTCCGTGCGGACGGCGTTGTCGACTAGAAGGATTCGCTGGAAAGGAGAGTGAACGAGGTGTGAAATGAAACCGATGACTTACATGCGAATAACGTTCCCGATGGTGTGATCCTCTCGCTGGATTGTGAAAGTTGCGGCGTTCATGATCTTCATGTCTCTCTCATAAGCTACTCTGAATTTCAATAAGCACCAGTGCGATGAATTAGTTGCAAGATTTGCCTGGGCAAGGGAAAAACGTTCCCCTCAGCTCGAAGTTTTCCATCTTAGCCGAGCTGAGACTGGTGACAAAGCCTAACCCTCGTCAGAATTTATAACTCCATCTTCTAGCGTGGGAAGGCCACTCACAAACAACACACAGATGGGCACAATTCGATCCAAAACCCTGAACCCTAGTGTACCACGATTTGCAAGAAAAGATCGACAACGCTCACTTTTTCATGCCCTCGGGCACCACAAAACGCTCATATCGATCCGGGGCATTCATGGCTCCTGCCTTTCGTACTCCCTAAGCTCTGATTTGACAACTCTGCAGAGCTCTGGTCCTACGAATATCAAAATGGCCTGCTCCAATCCCGGGTTTCAAAACCGCAGCCCGAATAATGGAGGACAACGAGAAGGAACAGCCTTCGGGAATGAGAAATCAATCGGTAAAACGAGAAGCGCTTGAAATCCGTAGCGAGTGTGCGTCACCCGCTGTAGCCGCGATGTGCCTATTTTAATAGCAACATTGGACACACTCCTTTCTTGCAACAATCCCGCCAACTCAGTGCTCAAAGCCACCGACAGCAACTGTACTTCCAGAGCTTCAGGGCTGGAGTTAAAGACGAATCATAGCAGAACATTCCGTATACCTATTTGAACCAGGAATTTATTGCCTGTTGAAGGCCATGAGGAGAATGAGAAGTCTCCCTTGGTCTGCTTTCTCCACTCAGAGGCAAAAATTATGTAACAGGCTCCGAGACATCAGTTACAGAATTGTATTTTACACATGAAAAATATCTGAGAAGAGATCACATCAATTAAATGAAAATGTACACATTTTGTTTGAGAATCAACATGACATCAATTCATTTTCATATGCAATAAGTTTATTTTTCATTGTAATACCTTATAATAATACTCATTATAAAGTCAAATCTAAGCAAACAGAAATTATTGTATACACCATTGGTGAATGTTCTAATCTGAAGATATCTAGTCAGATGTGTACAATTTTTTAGATAAAGTAAAGAGATAGTCATGTAATAATGATATATGTATATTCCATGAGCATTTTATGTTCATGGAATATCACTAAGTTGTCTTTGTGTATTTTACTAACAAGCCGGATTAAGATCACATTTATCAATATAATCTTCTAGACATCTACTTCAGTTATAAATTACAGTATGCTCCTTGTTATACCCTCACGAGCATACTCATACAATTGACTCGCTCATCATTTAGTGACCATCATATCCCATGGTTACAAACGGTCAATACTAACCTTGTTGTTCAATAATGAGGGTTCAGATAATCCTCATCCATTAACAACCACTAGCTTCCACAATATTAAGTAATACAACGTCAATGTTGAAATGAAAGTACGTATATGGTGTATTTATGTGAGACAATGTGATGCAAATATTAATGAGGAGGGTTGAGCAAGTAGAATAATTCTACAAAGTAGTGATAACATAATTGATTACAAAAATCATCAAAGTCATACAAAAAATTCCATTTTACAATTAGAGTAGAGCTCAATAATCATTCATAAATAAACATCTAATCCATTTTCTCTTCATTAAATAAATTGCAACCTAATGCAATGAAAGAAGACATCATGATAATATTGAAGAGAATATTTATCAAAAATCATATGTTTTTAATATCAACATATATTCATTTTTCATGCACTTGATACTACAATTACATTCATGAACACAATAAACATGTGAAAGATCAAAATAAAACGTGGTGTCAAACACAGTTCTAACTTATTACACGCCAATGTAACCAATGTTTATCCATCATTCATTATATTTAGTCGTACAATAAAATTGTATTTGTGCATAACTTTATTTATCTAAGATTATTACACTTGAGTACATACAATAGCATGTGATGCTTGTTTTAAATTCTCATATCTTATTAAAAAAATATTCAACTGGTATATATATATATATATATATGCATTTGATCTACAATCACATTTGATCTATGTTTATTCAACATTCATGATACAAGTATACATAAAGCTTGATATACTTGAAAAAAATATATCTTCATTGCTAAAGATCCCAAGTTATCAAATTTTTTTCTTTTACTCTCATTCAAAATCAGATGATGATTTAACAAAGATTATTTTTACTTAATAGATACGTGATTTTATTGATGGTGGTAAATTACCTGAATTTATTTTTTGTGTTATAAATTTATAAATTAGGTAAGATAATAATTGGATATCTTTATACTAATTTATATCTGAAAATAAGATTTGGATTTGAAAATTTTCAAATCTAAATCAGACTAATATTATTAAAAAAATTGTTGAAAAAAATAATTTCAACGTCACATTCACATTTTGTTTAAGAATGTTACTTGATGAAATCCCTACGAAACTAGAAACATTTGCTATGAAAACACATGATTCATTTGGGATTTCTTACAATACTTCAAATGAATCATAGTACACATGGGTTATAATGAATTAGAGTTTCTTACAACACCTTAGTCGGTTAAAACTCATGTTTCAATACTAGTTTTGGATTTGATATATCTTATTATAGTAACAGTATAAAAATGTATGACGCATATTCATGCAAAACACATATAACTCAAACACAAAACACTTGATGGAATCGAAGACATTTTATCTTATACATTGAGACATTTGATGTCACTCCATCCCACTGTCTTTTATGTTTCAATATGAGTTTTTGTAATTTGATAGTTGACAGATGAATGTTTCAAGAGCTTTGTTGGACAAATTGGCTTGGTAAGTATAGTACATCAAATGAGTTTCAATTTTTATAGTAAAATATATATAATCCAAAACTCGTATTGGAACATGGGCTAATCTGCTTGGTCTGGTCAAGAGTTTAAATTAGCTAAATTAGCTTAATCGCATTAGAATAGCTTCCTTTAGACAATGTGTAAATGTGAATATTATCAAACATAAAAATGCAAATCACTATTTTAACTACTTAATAAAATCCACTGGTTTGATTGGATCACGCCTTCACGACAAGCTCTTGCGAAAGTTGTACTTCTCCCATTGCAAAACAGAAAACTTAGACTCCACAATCACAGTTTCAAAAAATAATATGGTGAGGATTCAATCAGATTTGAATATCTGTATCAGATTTAACTCAAGCAATTGTGACAGACCAATAGACTCGACAACACATCAATGCTTTGCTTGAGGACGTGCTAAGATCGGTAAACATGAAATAAGAATATTCGGCGAAAACATCAATTTACTTTGCAGAACAACGGTGCTCTAGTTGATAGTTGTGTTGACGGATCTTGAGAAAAGACTCGGCAGCTGATAGTTTGACGAGCTCGTGCAATAGCACAAGTAAAAAAGAAGATAAATTGATCAGCGCGTTGTTGTGTACATGGCAAAGGGCGGACACTTCACGAATTTGATCAAGGCCAACAAGTCTTTGCTGGCTTTATCAACTTTGTCAACAATAAAATCAACACTAAAATTCATGATGTTGACAAAGTCTCAGACAGATTACAATGGAACGGCTGAACGACCGTTGATGACATTATTTGATGCGTCAATATTCGTAATCGTGTAAGGATTAAGCGGCCCAAAAAGGTAACATCATCAATGAAAGAGTCAATGAGATCATTCAAGATATTTTGCAGTTAATCCAATAAGTCGTCAATCCTTGAATCAAGTGAAAGTAATTACTGTTTTTTAGTTGAAGTGATGCATAGCAAGCAAAAACATACATCTTAGATGAAATGTAGTTGAAGTTAGATATTTTGACTTGATATGCATAAGCAACCGAGACCGATGAATCTTGAATCACTTAACACAATGAGTTTGACTTTGACATAATGATACACTAAGCATAATTGACATCGTCCTCGTCATGCTCTTGCTACTCCACACGCTTGAATAATGATAACGTTTGCTATTTTTCCAAAGCTGAATTTTGAACACGTTGGCAAGTTATAGCATTGCACACAACTTCACTGCTGAATGCGACTCCTCCGCCTCATTATCAAAATCGATGTCAAAGACATATGTCAGATCAAACATCATGTCGTCCACAATTACGTCCACAATATTTTTCTTGATGTCCAACACAATTGTAAATTTACTGTCAAAAAATGAAAACAAGAAATGCGTATTAATAGAGTTTTTGAACACAAACCTTGAAGAAGAAATTTTGATAATAAACCAAATGAAGACGTTTGTACACAATCCACTTTGTATGATGTTGACCGCTTACGTGATTTTCAATATTATTGTTATAGAAAACTCCACAATATCATTCGACATTGGTAGAAGTCTTGCGCTTTGCATTCATTTCCTTTTTGCTGCTACAATCAATGCAAAATCGACGTTGTAGATTATTGACTTGCTAGCTATTTGTAGCCGGATAGCACACTTTCAATCCAAACTACACGTTATTAACCTTAACGTAATAACTTCCATGCTTAGAAGCCATAGAACACCATCCACTATTATCAGTAATCAATCACGCAAATCCAATCTCAATACTCAATCAATTTCATTAATCAATACTACAATTTTCACGCATAAATAAAGGATCAATAAATAGGTGAGCTAGCGGAATTTAGTTTAGATAATTTAAGCTACACAATACTTTGAACTCCTGCATTAAGCAGATCTGAACATGGATGTGGGTAGTTGGAATTAAATGTTGTAGGAAAAATAAAGTTAGCCGCTATTCACCACTCACTTTTTGCTATTCACCACTCACTCCCAATTTTAAAGAACCACTGCGCACTTTTCTCGCGCTCCGATTGGATCCGATGGATATCCGAAATGCTCCCATTCTTCCTTGGCACCGAGAGCATCAAGATACCACGCGACAGTTGCTGGTGTAGTCGCTGCTAGAGTTGCCGATGAAGTCACTGCGAGAGTTGTTCAAAGAAGTTCACGACTACTTCTCCTATTGTGCTCCACTTCTCTTCAATTGTCGCATCGACTTAGGGGTTCTTTAAAATTGGGTATGAGTGGTAACTAGCGGCTACCGAAATAAAATGAATACCTGAAAGTAGTTTCATTTTCAAGGTTACAATCAAGTAATTATCTCCAAATTTCTTTAAAAAAAAAAAAAAGAAGTGCAATTAACACCATAACAAACATTATTTACATGTGCCTTTGAGCCCCAAAGAAAGAACATCAAAACCTCGGAGGTACCGAATGTGCCACCCGTCGCATCAACCTAGGGAACAAGGAGAGAGAACGCAGTCGTCCGCTGCGTTCCTTCAGCTTTGTCGTATCCACATAAAGGGCAACCCGTGGCGCGGCCCCGGCGAGAGCTCCGTTTGAAATTGTAGCCGGGAACGGAGCTGACAGTCGGAATCCAGCGAGCGAGCCGAGCAGGATCCGGTGAAGAACGAACGTCGGCCGAAGAAGAATCTCCGACAGAGCAAGAAGAGCGGAGCGGAACCGAGCCGAGGAAGAAGAAGAAACAAGCGAGCGAGCAGCAGCGAGTGCCATGACGGACGACGATCGCTCCTCCTGTCGATGCCTGTCGCCTTCGAACCGGAGCCCCGCCGACGACGAGCAGGTCGCTCAGATCTTTTCTTTTCCGAGCGCTTTGCTTTGGCGATTCTGGAGTTCGAGTCGCGGCGCTACTCCGGCTTCCGCTCACTGTCGATCCTCAGCGGCGGCATTCTGCATTCGAAAAGATTTCGATCCGAATCCTCCCCTCGGCGCGAGATGGAGCGCAAGATTCAGTAGTCGGAGTTTAGGAGATGGAGCGCTTGCTGGCTAATTGGTTGTGGATTAGGGTTGTCGCCGGGAAAGCGAGGAATTTGATCGATGCAGGGGCGAATTTCGAGGGCGGAGATGTGCAGGCGGTGTGGGCTTAGCTGAGAGCGGGGGTGCAAATGTGATCGCACGGGACTGGTGAGGAGTGCTGGTGCAAGTGCGCGTTTTATTTTGGGATTTTTTTCGAATTTGCAGCGGCGATGGAAGTGGCTGCAAATCGAGCCACAATGGACACGGGTGACTGAAGAAAGGAGAGCCATGCATTGTACGAAGGATGTAATGTGGTTTTCTGGTTCCCACAGGTTTGGGCTGTTGTGACACATGCTCCTCTTATGAAAATGAGCGGTGGTGGGAAAGATGCAGTGCCTGCCCCTGCGCCGAGTGGTCCGGGCAGGGGAAGGCCGAAGAAGGTCAGGCCAAGAGAGAGTGAACCGGCCGGAGTTGTATCAGGGATTGGCGCAGAAGTGAAGAGGAGAAGAAAAATCGCCACTGCAGGCGGAGACACCCGAGAATTGGGAGCTAGCACAGCAGGAGCTTCAGCTGAACAGGAGACAAGCTCAGTCGAGCTCAAAAATGCTGATCAGGCCAACACTCGAGTCAATGCCCGTAGTCAAAAGCATCCTATGAACAAACGGAAGCAAAATGAGCTTTATCCCGGTGGGAGCGATGGGGGAATTGGGTCTGTACTAGATCATGGCAGAGAGGTAGAAAGTCAGGATGACGGGAAAGGAACGGCCCTGGACTTGGTGCTCAAAGTTCATGGCGTGGTTGTCCACGCAACAGAACGAGCTGCTGCATTCCCTGGGGAAACCGGGCAGGGTTCCTTGGGGGAATCCAATTTGTGTGCTTGCTGTTCGAAGCCTGAAGTTTCCAAACAAACAATTGTCTGTGACGGATGTGAGAGGAGCTTTCACATTACGTGCTTGAAGCTCGCTCTGCAATCTGCTACCGACATCGATGACTGGATTTGTACTTCTTGCTCCGCCTCCTATCCGGAATCGGAAGTCTCTGCTGGTGTCTCGAAAGCCGTGAGGGAAAACCTGGAACGAATACTATTTAGTCGAGAGAGGAAGACATCTGATGATGATGTAGGTGTGCATAATGAAGTCCCAGGAACAGCTTGTAGTAGTGTGGGTGTCAGTCAATCAGAGGTGCCCGTGGCAGCAACATCAGAGCACACTGAGCAAGATTTGGTTCACACTAATGGGCCAAATGTTCCTGACGGCGATCAGCAGAGGTAAGGCAACTTATATGAGTCCTACACTGATGAATTTACCCCTGCTTGTGTTAATCTTGTTTTTTGCTCAGTTTCCCATCACACACCGAACAGCATTTTAAATATGAAATCTTAACGAGTGGGTGGAGTTCTTTTGTGGACTTACTCTGTGGGTGAAATTCTTCCTCATAGTGTAATTCCGTTTATTCATACGGAATTCCGTGATGATTATCTCGAAATTGTGAATTTTGTTTGATGACATCCCTACACAGCAGGGCGTATATTTAGAAACGGAGTAATTGTATTCTGGCTGTCTCTTGCTTCGAGAGATCTAGAGTGGTTAGTCGCCATGTCGGATATATTGCTGTAAGTGACAGGTTGTGCAGGATGTGCCAGGTGCCAGGTGCCAGGTGCCATGTGGTGTCAATTTATACAAGATATGGACAGTGAACTTATGAGTGCTTCTGCTTGAACTTTCAGGCAGGATTCTTCAAATCAAAGCGTACCCCCCGAGACCGATTCCTTGGATCCAGAGAAAGCCAACAATAAAGTTTCGGAAAGTATTTCACGGAAGAGTGTCGAAGATGATTTGGATAGAAGTATGGCGTCTGATTCTGTAGAAGAGGTTACAAAGGCCGAGCAAGCCAAATCACCGGAAGCTGAAATAGGTCCTTTAAATGTCACTGTGGTGCCGGACAGCCCTGGACCGTCTACGGCGTTCACAGAGATCACTTTGGCAGAGAGTGCATCAGAGATAGTTGAGCTATCAGAGGAAATCCAACCTACCCGAGCAGAGGAAAGTTCATGTGTCAACGAAGTAATGCTTTCAGTCCCGGCAGGAATGTCAACCGTATCAGGTCCAAAGGTCTCTTGTACTATTGTTGAAGAGTGCGCCGAGGGAGGAAAGCATTCTATTTTAGCAGAATCATCGTCCTTGGTTGAAAGCCGGCCGCACGTCATTCTAGAGGAACTTCAAGTCACTGAAGCAAGCACGTCGATGCTATCTTCCGTTGAACCGACAGTGGTAATTGAGAAGGAGGTGACATGTGTATCCACTCTAGAAGTAATAACAAGTGTGTCTGATATTGAGCTGCCTGTCCCCGTAGAGGACCCGGAAGTTTTGAATGATATGAATCAGGCAGATTCGTCAGCGGAGCCTACAGTAGCACGGGAGGAGAAAATTATGGATAGCGTAGTTGCAGGACAGATCATGCCAGTGGTTGAGAGCAATTTGTCCGGGAGTCCAGACGAGAGTGAAGACTCTAGTATAAGTTTGTCAACAAAATCCTCACCGGATCTCACAGTTGCGAAGGAGGTAGCGCAAGCGAGTCCTGTGCTGGATTCAAGGGAGGCAGACAACGCTGCTGTCGAAAGAGTACCGGATGAGCCTGGTTCGATGACAGAAGTTACACATGTACAATTGAGCGGAACCTTCATGCTTCAAGAATCTGACGATAGCCTTAAGTGCATAAGCACCGATAATCTGGCCCCGGATGAGACATTATGTACCACTAAGCCGTCTGAAACCGAAGAGAAGGGAGAGAGAATGAACGGAAGTAGATTGTTGGAACATATTCCAGAAGGTCTTATGTGTGAACCCAGAAACGCCGGGGAACCTGTGGGGGTTTTGGAGCTTGGAGGTCAGAATGTTTTTTCCACTTCTCCTCGTGTTGCTACCAGCCCGACCAGCTCTGCAGACGTGGCTGGTGTGCGGCCAGAATGTCAGCAGTCAAAGAAGTCACGGAATAAGAGTCCTATCGGATATCCTGATAGAGTGAGCATTACATCTGTGGGTCCAAACAGCACCCCGGCCAGGAAAGGCAGAGAAGAAGCTTCACCATCGGGAACTGATGATCCGCAATTAAAAAAATTTGCAGTGGATACATTACAGCAGCTCAGGGATTCCATCAGAGAGAAGCATGGTTTAGTGCTAGCTGAGGGATGGGAGGTTGATGTGAAGAGGAGGAGGAATGAGAAGCACTTGGATAAGTATTACATTTCGCCTGAAAAGCATCGATTTCGATCACGGATAGAGGTTATGAAGCATCTGGGACTATGGGATGGCTTGAAGTCCAATTTATTTGATAAATCGAAAGCAAAGCATGAGGTTCAAACACCTCAATCCAAGGAATGGTTGTCATTGCTCCAACAGTTGTCTAGAAGGCATGAGGAGGTGAGGATCAGTTGAAACATAAGAATTTTGTTTGCCCAAAATCTGCCAATTTTTCGCGGTGAATATATTTCAATTCTCTCTTTGTACGGGGGTTTTGTGGAAAAGAAGGTGTTAATGCTCCGCGCGTCAATACTTGTTGGTCTCGCCTTTTTTCACCTGATCCGTGTTTTCCTTCTGAAATCCAGTGGCGATGAATTTAGAAAACTGTTCACTGGTATGCATGCTTTCGTTGCTGACTTGTTTGTTTCAGAAGGTTCTCCTTGTGGTACTGACGCCGTAAAGTTTGAATACAGTTGCAACCGCCTTTCAAGCTTGGAGATCTGGTTATCGAATCACTTGGGCACATCGCTTTACAACGGAGATACTGGGACGAACTTCACATTTGGCCTGTTGGGTATCGATGCACGTGGCATGATCGAACCACGTCGTCTTTCTGCGTGAGCGAAGTTGCTGATGGTGGAAGCTCGCAACCTATTTTCCGAGTAAGCAGGAAGTTCTGTCTGACAGTGGTAGAGTTGGGTGACGTGAAAGGAGCCCCAGTGGACGTCAACGTGGACATTCCTGAGAAGACTAGGAAAGACTCGCCGACAAAAGAAGTGGGAACTAAAACCAGTCCAGTCGATAATCCATCTTCTGGATTTCACAGAGTAAAAAACCCGTTTGGCAGCGTATACGATGTCGAGGAGGAGGAGTCATTGAAAGCACTTCTTGGTGACATGGAAAGCTTTCCATCGACTGTCCAATATGAAAATGTGAAGGTTTGTGAAGACAGCCGAATTGCAGATGGAACTTGTAATCCTGACACGACGGCTGTTTTAGAAAAGCGCGATGATCGGCAACCACGAGATATAATAGGTGAATTTTCAGTAGAGGCATCCTCTACGGCTGAGGCTTGGAAGCTTTATGCAGAGCAATTCGTGGAACGCTTTCAGAAAGCGTCTGAGAACTTTGGGCCTTTACTGATGATGTGCACACACGAAACACCTGCAGCTGTAGAACCAGTGACTAGACAGGATCTTGAGTCCAAAGACCTGTTGCAAACGCTTTCGCAAGATCGATTTGGATTGAACGAAACTCTGGTTATAGGACTGATTGAAAGGTTGTTAAATTCGGATAAATGCTCTGGTTACAAGTCACTCAAACAGCGAGGCCTTTCATGGAGAGCGCAGGAACCAGTTGAAGTCACTGTTCAACCCCCACGTTTGAGAATAAGGGAGAAGGCAAGGAAGCACAGAAAAGCTCCTGAAGTCTCAGTTGAAGACGGGACCGGAGCTGCGGAGCTGGCGGATGTTATTGTCAAAGATGCTATTGGTAAAGATGATATTGGTAAAGATGCTATTGGTAAAGATGCTATTGGTAAAGATGGAGCAGATGTCTCAGTTCTTCGAGGAGAGCGGCCGCCTCCTCCTCCAGGTCACTCCCTTAGACTGAGGTTGCCATCCGAATATGTTGGGGACGTCCTGCAGGTATTTGCATATAAATATAAGTATATATATATATATCTCACCTCGACGCAGTGATGGTGTTTCCCTTCAGCAGATCATTCTAGCTAATTACGAGCTGTTTTAGTATGTCCTTGGACAGCTACATGGTGATTCGTTCATATGGATGTACATTATCCGTATGGATACTGCTTTGATGCTGGACGTTTTGGATTCTGATCCTCTGTGCAAACCCTTTACTTTTGCTAACCTTTTGCTCTAGGTTCTTGCTGTCGGTGCAATATTTGGGTTTTGTCTGCCGTTTATAATACGCTTTATCCACTGTGGTTGGTCATTCTGCTATCGTAGTTACTTTCGCAAGCTGGTTGATCTTTTCAAGGGAAGTACTGGACAGAATTTTTTAGATTAAACATGACTTCTGAACTTTCCTGGATAGACAACCTTGGAGAGAAATAACGTAAGCCCTATTGTATGTCAGTTCTAAATTGCAGACGGTGCTTTGCTTTTTATCAGAGTGTGTTTTAGAAATTTTTAGTGCAGGTATATCGCCCAGGAAAGACGATAGAGATATTCTCCATTTTCTATGAGCAACGCCCAGCCAGGGTGCGGGGTTTCTGGTCTTTAGACTATCAAAGGAAATTAATCATGAATACACTCACATACATCTTCCTAAAATCTAACTATCTACGGAGGCTTGCAAGGTTATAATTATCTTCCTTGGTTCCTCTTACAGATTTGGGAATTTCTCGGCCGGTTTTCAAACCTTATTGGCTTTCCTCAGCCTCCCATGCTCGAGGACTTGGAAAAAGGCCTCATCTGTGGGTCAGCAAGTGTAAGCGCTTGTGTAGATGCAAGCCCACCACTCGAAGTTGGAACTGATTGCATGGCAGCTAATCGCAAGTTTCAGTCTGACAAAAGGCGTGATTCAATCCGTAACTTGGACATTCCAGATGTGGCACCAAGAAGCACCAGTGCTGATACCTCTGGAAGTCCACGAACTCCAATGAAGAGTCTCCTTCCTGGACGCACTCTGTTGTCGAGCACCACGCAGGGGTCTCAACAGAATGATGTAAGCCGCGTGGAGCGCCTTTGGGACGAAGATGGTAAGACAGTATCTGGATGCCTATCTAATGATGGAAACTCTTTGATGGAATTCGAACCTGATGTTGTAAAGGGAAGAGCCGTCTGTGCCGATGTTCATCCAAAGTCGGAATCAAAGGTGATGGATGAACGAGGAATTGCGTCTGCAGCATCTCTTCATGTACCGTTGATGAAGTTCTTGTTATCTGATCTACAATCGAAGGTTTGTGGATTCGAGGAATTTCCCGGTGATTCGGAGGAGTCTAAGCACAAAAGGGGAAGGAAGCGGATCCGAGATACCGGCTCAAACTTAACTCTTGGAAGAGAGAAGTTGATAGGTTCTTTTTCCATAAACGAAGTTACTTGGCCTGAGGTTGCCCGCCGATATATCATATCTCTGTCGAGAATCTCGAAGATCGGCGAGAATGCCGAATACAGGAGAGAGGAATGTATGAAGATTTTAAGGTGCATACAAGGGGATGGAGGAGTTCTTTGTGGAGCTCTTGATGGAGTGGCAGGAATGGAAATTGATGCACAGGTTGGTTTCTGATGTGCTGTGATGCGCTATCTCGGTTTTCCATAAATTTCTTTCATCTTCCTTTCTAAGAGATTGTAGTTTCTCCCGTTAAAGCATTGAGTAATATAAGAATCTGCTATATCCTAATGCATTCTGATCTCCTGCCAGTTACTAGCAGAAGCAGAGAAGGAGATATCCACGTTGATGCTTGGAAATGAAGACACAGCAGCTCCCACTACACCGCCTCAAAACGGCGCCTCCAGAGAAGTAGTTGAGGAAGCCCGCGGTCAGGATTCATCTGGTGAAAGTGCTCTCTGGGTCAAGCTTCTGGATCCAATTGCAAAGCTTCCCACCAATGTCGGATCGCGAATCCGAAACCGGGTTATTGATGCGCTTGCAGCAAACCCCCCTGCATGGGCAGCTGAGATGCTGACATACTCCATTAGTAAGAAAGTGTACAAAGGAAATGCTTCTGGGCCAACCAAAGTAAGTCTGGGAGTAGCCGCATGTCGCGCTAAATCCATAGAAGTCTGTACTCATCACGCTTTTACCTTCTTTTATCCTGGCTGTTTACCTGATGGTATTTGGTGTAAGCGAGATGTCTACGGATGTCTAGGTGCGAGAGGGCTCAGCTTACAGTCATCCCTGACTTTGTTTGTTCTAATTAGGGGTGGCAGGAAATGCCTTGCTTTGTATTGTAATAATACAACTATGGAGATAGCTTCTTTGCTCCTATATTTCTTCCAATTTATTACATGTCTAAGATTTAATTTATCGTTCCATTGTCTTGACTATCGTCTCCGAAGTTCAGACTGAATTTGGAGTGTCTTTTTCAGATTAAGTTTGTATGCATTCACAAGGTTATCACATGCCCTCTAGTGCACCAGTTTTCATCCCAGCGACATAAGCGGAGTAGTTGTGGTCCATTTCCTTTTGTGTCCTGTAGGGGGCTGGGTCTTTTGTTATCTCTTTCGGCTTTTTAACCCATTGGTTCGGTGTGATGAGGGTCCCCATGGTTTCTGATTCGCATGTCCGCCCGTTTTTTACTGATGATGCGGCAACAGTGCATACCTTTGCACGACCCGAGCTGGTTCAGTTGATTGTTTCTGGCTAAAGCATCCCCACTGTGACAAGGATGGATCTGGCCTTCATCCTGACTTTCTCATCTCTACGCAGAGAGCGGTCATGGAAGTGCTGCACAAGTATCGAGGCGAGGATCCAGATCCGAAGTTGAAAAAGACCAAGAAACAACGAAAGCGAGTTCTACCTTCCCCAGAAGTCGTCATGCAGCGATGTCGTATCGTACTTCGACAAGTAGCAACAGCGGACACACTCCGTGTCGTCTCTAAAAGCTACAGGTGTATGACAAATTTTTATGAAAGCGAAGGGGAAGGTTTACTTGCACGACCTCTTGACTTTCGTGCCATCGATCTGAGGCTAGGTGCTGGAGCGTATGGAACATCTCCGGATGCATTTGCTGCAGACGTGAAGCAGGTAGCTTTTGTTTGTCGTTCTTTGATATCTGTGAAACTTGTCTGAGATGTGTTGCAAGTCCATCAAATCTGGTGAACAAGTTCGCTCCTTACAAAGCAAAGATATTTAGCAAAGAAACTTAAGCCCATGATACAAGCCCTTTACAAATACAGCCTTTGCAACTTCGACTATTCCTTTCTTCTGAAAAAAAGAGTACCTTACAAGGGTACTGACTCTAGAACCTCTCAAAATGGTTCTAAGGTCGGTGATGTTCGTGAAGTCCGGGTGTGAAGTACTGCTCTGGCTTGATTTTTGAAATCCACGCTGACTATCACTGATAACTACAAACGTACCTTAGCTTTCACTGTATCTTCTCTTTGTGGGTTTCGGAAACAGATGAAAGATTCGATGGCTTACGACAATCGTGTGATTGTCCTAAGCTCTCGATTCTTTCATTTACTTCCTTCCTTCGGTAATCGTTGTAGCCTTCTTGTCAAACCGAAGAAGAATCTGAATCACAATCTTCTATCCTTTATCGACAATAAGGTTCGTAGTCGCACGCGAATAACTCACGACGAAATCCTTAATAAGAATTATTGCTGTTCTTTAAGGCTATCCACGCTAACCGGGTGGAGAATAAAATACGAAGATAGTGAGCTTTTCCTCCTTTCCAGAAACAAGAACTCACTACTTTTGACATACGTCACATAAATTCCAGTGCGTAAACCCATGCTACAGGATGGAGCAATGCTGTAGGATACAGCGAGGATACGACGTCGTAGACAAGTAATGAATGATGAGAGCCTCACCATTGTTCGAGAGGAGTTAACCTTCATGGTATTTTGCCTCTCCAAACGTTATATGTGCCAAATATCTTGTGCAGTGAGTGACCACTGCAAGAGTTCATGCTGATAACTGGTGCCGCTTTCGTGCGGGTTTGATGGTCGTCCAGATCTCAGAAGGACTCGGATATCACCCTTTGATTGGTGGCATTGAAGTCATCTATGTCATTGATACGTCCACTTTGCACCGGACAGGAAACGGTGTCCTTCGTTTCCTCACCCTCTACAGCAAACACCGTGATCTCCCCAACAACTAACTTCATTTTCCGCTGTTTCTGTAATGAGCTGGATGGAATTTCAATGATACTAATGACTCAGATGCCTAGCCGTGGGACACACCACCCAGGTTATAGGTTCACGTGTTAACTCGGATTTTCAACTTGAGTGATTTTTCAGTCTTCTTTTCTGCTTCGATAGAAAGGCCTTCCAAGCACACGGGCCTACGTGGCCCGGTGTTGTGGATTGTCTGCTTCACAAAACTTTCTGCAGTGTATCTGCGATTTTGCAGTCTATCCATTTTCGAAGTCTGTGTTAGGGTCTAGAACGTCTTATCATATTCATACATTAATTAGCGATACGTTGATCAGTAATTGTAGCCTTACGGTATACATAATCAACTTCGAATGGTTTATATTGCAGATCTGGAGAAATGTTGCTACGCTCTATGATAGTGGCAGCATCGAAGCCTCAGCTGCAAGCGAGCTAGCGGAGCTTTTTAATACTTTATATAACAAACAGGTGTGTCATCCACCAGTTCAGTCTGTACTGACTGTACTAGGAGACTTGTAGAAGACAATGTTTGCAAGCAGCACCTTTGTTCTAGAGATCGATGGTACCAAGCTCTCAGATCTGGACATGTAAGAAGTTTTGTGATCAGTGTTTTCAGAGTCAGTTCTGATGCGCACTCGAACTTTAATTGAGGTGATTGTAGGTTCTTGTATTTCAAAGAGGTGGAGATCAGGCAGCTCTGACAGGATCGGATGGTCAGAATGCTGGAGACCTGAATCAGGAGAGCGAAAAGAACCCCGCTGATTCTGAGAAGCCACCAGGATCCGATGTGAACAAACCTGTCAAAGCACCGTGGGAAGATGATTCTTGCCAAGTTTGTGGCATCGACGACGATCACGATAATGTTCTTCTCTGTGATGGTTGTGATGCTGAATATCACATTTACTGCTTAAATCCACCTCTGCCAGAGGTTCCGGATGGAAACTGGTTTTGCCACTCTTGCGTTGCCGTTGACACGGGCTTTCTGGAGGCACCCTCCGCTCCGGAAAGTGGCTCAGAAGCTAAATTACTGGACAAGCAAGAAGATCACCATCAGTTGAGGGGACAATGTTTTGAGGACATAACTGAGAAGGACCAGCTGCGGAGGTCAGACGCCTCAGTACATTCAGCTCTGCGTGCTCTCGTCCTGAAGCTCGCCGAGACAGACTACTGGCATCTGACGTTGGCAGAAGTAAATTTCACCACACCCCATATGTGCTCAAAGTTTCGTTGATCAGTTTCACCTCGTATATTGCCAGTTTGCCTCCCCCGACATTTCATTTTGCATGTATGGCTTTAAAATTCTTACGCTCTAACACAGCCTTGCTCCCCCTTACAGAGAGTCTACTTGCTGAAGTGGCTATGTGACCAAGCGTTGGAAACCCCGAAGCTGAGGTCTCACCTGGAGAAGAGCATGGAAGTAGCACTCGACCTACAACAAAGGCTTCGAACGTTACTGGTGGAGCGTCGGAGGAATGCTGATCAAGATGATGCAAGGCCTGACAGCTCTAGAGAGGGACCTAGGGAGGTGAACATTTTGCCAATATTTCAAGCTCGAGGTGCGAATTCCAAGAGACCAGATGAATTTGATGAAGAATCATCTGTACAGGTGGACGTAGTAGACGGGTTGTCAGTCTCAGGCCTGTCTACTGGTGCAGTTGGAATGAGTAGGGTCCTACAATCTGACCCTACGGAGTTTGTCTGGCCCGAGGGGCATGCAGCTCTGTTGGCAACCGGAGCGGTTAGGCCGAACGACCCGAGTGGTAGCACTGGTTCAGCGAAACTGTCACGGGGAGAGCAAGAGGAGAAGGATGTTGCATCTGATCAGTCCACACAAATTGCTGTATTTCAGCCAATGGAGGTGGATTGTTTTCCAAGCTCCGCGCTCTTAAGGAGTGTTGTCCCGTTGAAGGAAGGACCCAAGGGAGGGGTTCAAGCCTGCAGTAGCGAACGGATTGTGGAGTCTGGTGATCTGAAAGTCGTGGGTACACCAACTGGGGTATCTGCTGATAGGATTAGGAAAAACGCGGAAAGTCCTGTACATTGTAGTCCTCTTATTGTTGTTGAGCCTAGGAATCTAACCTCATCATGGGATGAAGTTTTGGAAGCAAGAAGTAAGCGTCCTAAGGACGAGCCACTAGCTTGCCCAGAGGTGGAGGTGGAGGTGGAGTTCGAGGAAACAACCTTGCCTCGCAGTTCGAGCAGTTTCTTGGATGCAGAAATAGAGAAGATCAAGACGAAGCTCATGCGTGTAAATAGTCGAAGGGATCTTCTGGGCAGGGATGATATTGGAAGGATGTACTGGGGCCTGTGCGGTTCTAGGACCACACCTTGGCTAGCAGTTGAGGCAGCTGATGCCAGTAACCAAAGCCAAGCAGAAGACAGAGAAGGGCTAACTGCAGGAGCAGAGTCGGTTGTCCCAGTCAACAGCAATGTACATATTCCCCTTGCCGAGAAGTTCAGAAAGGACGACGTCTCCGAGAAGCAAGTTCAGCTCAGCAGACTAGCTGCAGAGGGACTTGCATCTCACGTTCGTGAGAATGAGGAGAGAGATTCTCTTCTGAATGAAGCGCAGCGGCGACTCGGGGAGGAAGTACCTTGGTTCATTTATTCGAATGGAGCTGTCCTGGATCAGCTGATAGAATGGTTGTCGCCCACGAGTAATCAGGAGAAGATGCTGAAGGCGGCACTGCTGCAGTGGAGAAGCTTGCTGTTGGTCTACAGCGGTGCAGGACCTGAGCAGGCGGGAGGGTTAAGAGAAGAACTCTCTGGATGTTTTGTAAGTGGAATTTACGGATCAAACACATTTGGTGACATGGGTGTCCGTTCTCAGGTTGTAGCCAAAAGTAGAAGAGGTATAACGCCGGCTTTGAAAGCAAGCTGTCTTTTGGAGTGGAAACTTGGTCAAGTTAGTGACTCTTCAGTCAAAGGATCTGCAACATCTGGCCTGTCCAAGAGGGGACGGAAGAAAAAGATGCAACAGAGCTCCAAAATAACACGTTGTGAATGCTTGGAACCAATATGGGCATCACGATGCCACTGTTCAACATGTCACACTACCTACGACACAGATCTAGAATTTCAGGCCCATACAACCGGCGGCACTTGCAGCAATGCCGGAACCAAAGCTTTTGAACATGGAGATCTAAGATCAGGCAAAAAGTCCGGCCACAGCACCAAATCCCTAACCTCGACCAAAGTTTTGAAGTCTGCGGTTGCACAGCAGCCGTCCATAGGAATAATTTTACCTCCCGATGTTTCAAAGATGCCTATGGTCATCCGCGAATCCATGAGAGAGCGTATCAACAGAATAGGATGCATCGCCGATAAGGGACCGATTTTTACACCCGGTCTGGCTATTTCCCCGGCATTTGATCCGGCTCTGATGATGTTTGATACTTCACGGGAATCTATGTTACTAATGGCTGGAGAATCCGTTAGTGTTGAGGGGATCCTCGGCACCATAGCGGTTGGAGCGACATCTTGCATGAGCCATGGAGATGTCGACAATTCGCTTACCGGTTATCGGATCCTTATAAGCAGTTCGGAAGATCTACCTGGACCAGCGATCGAGGCTTCGGAGGGCACGGAGGCTGCGAAGACGATTGATCACATGAATGCTAGAAATATGGTTCCAACAACGAATAGCGTTGTGCAAGAACATGCCGGGCTACTAGCCTCGGACGGCAAGGGGCTTACAACAACGAACGAAGACTTTCAGATGAATCAAACTCAGCCAGCTGTCTCTGCTCCAAGCTTAGGAAGAACTTTGTCAGGTGCACATGCTCCTCCATACGAATCGAGTGGCAACCTGTCGCGCTGCAAGGCTTACAGCAGAAATTTTAAGGTGACTGGCAAGCAGTTAACGATTCCAGAGGCATCATTACGACCTCTCGAAGATGAAGAAGATCTCGAAATACTGCAACAGCTCAAGATGAAGTTGCTCGACATCGAGGCTGCTGTATCTCAAGATATGAGCGAAAGTGCGCGGGGCTACTCACGTAGACGACAAGCATGGCGTTCGCTGCTGAAGTTTGCGAAGTCCATCTACACGGTATTCAAAGCTCCCATTTCCCAAACCCTTTACTGACACTGCTGCGATTATCCAAATGTTAGGCAGAGTTCGTAGAGAGAGTTTCCAACTCTCAATGCATTCACGGTAGAACAGCTGGAGAGGAAGCCTTCTGCCATCTCATGTGACTTCAGTTCAACTGGAAAAACAACTGAGCGAGCTTGATGCAAAGTTTGTAGTAGTTTTCTCAGCGGCTTCAAGCTTGTCAAGTTACTCAGCTTACTCGAGCTTTGGTTCCTTGGATTCTGCAGATGGTGCAGGCCGTAGTTCTTCTGGAGCAGATGATATGCGCAGATTTTTTGAGGACCTCTTGGTGCTACTGGTCTTCTTTCACTGTTGCAGCGAAAACAGCCACTCTGTCGTCTCTGTACCTGAGGGTGTATGCCCTTGATGCAGCAATCGAGTTCGAGAAGTCAGAACATTACGCAGGAGTAGACTTTACTTTGATTGAAGGTATACAGGGAAGAAGGGAAAAAGAGAGAGACGATAGGAAACATTCTCAATCCACGAAATTCACTGCTCGCAAGAAAAGGAAAGAGGAGGTCATCGTCATACTTGAAGGATAAAGAGTGTGTACAGTATTGCCGCGTTGTAGGTCGCTTTGGAGTTAGGAATTTTGGTATCTGCCTCCCGATTATGAGCTGCCGTTCTGCTCCTGATGCCCCGGGACGTTTCTCCACATTCATACCCATGAAAGATAGGCGAGGAGGCACCGACCTTTGTGTCACATTCATTTGCGACTCATGATGTTCCAAACATCATACTTGTTCATATCTTATAAATTAAGTTGAAGGTCCTTGAAGTTGATCTGGACACCATTCTCACTGGAGCAGCCCAAATTGGTGTACACCATCTCTAATGGCCTTTTCCGTGACTGTCATCTCGTTCCCTTTTTGTGTGATCGGGTATGAGTATGTCCAGCCCGAGTTCTCCTTCAAGCAGTTCATCCTTCCAAGAGTGAACTGCCTTTCCTTTCTGGAGCAGAACTGACGACTGTCTGGAGTGACTGATCGACAGTCACTCGACTAAATTATTCATACGTGAGACGGAGCTTTCAGCTTTGGTCAAGAAGAAGACCAAGATGAATTATTCTGCGGGCGTTTTCTGATGGAACGCAAGACTTCGTAATGTGGTTACCATCATTGTGTAAAACACAGTTGTAAGGATGATAAGGAGACACTCTGGTAACATGCTTATCCGGACAAAGCGGGATTTCTCAAGAAGGAAATTTGTTGACGATGTTGAAAACGATCTTCGCTGACTGCAAAGATCAGCGAAGATCGTAAAATTTCAGTTCGGTACAAGAAACTTTGTACAACATTGGATCACAAACCTCCCGTGATCACAAATCCCACGGGGGAATGCCATCTGATCAGTTAGTGTTGTCTCTCAGAAGGCTCATGGGAAGGTTCTCAATACGTAGCCAGCTCTTTGTGTAATTAAATAGATGTGCGTATGTATTAGTAAATATAACACTCAGCCATGTTCGCATTGAAATATCAGAAGTGTCAATACAGCTGTTAGGAAACCTAGGACTCAACGGGATGGCTATTAATGTTTTAGAGATCATAGTTCTTCTATGATCTCTAGAACATTCATAGCCATCAAGAAGTTGAGAGTTAGTTTACAATGGAAAGTATCTGTTGCAAAGGCCTCTAAGGCCTCTACAAAATGTAGTCAGCTCTGAAATAAGCATTCTTTTGTGTTATGTTAACCGAGCGAAAAGTCATTGTATATTATAATTATTAATTAAAACTTTACTTTCACATTGTTTTGGGAACTGTATTTCTTGGATCTTATTACGCAACCTTTGTGTCGTAGGATGATACTAATATTTGATGTGAAAGTATCGTTTACTGCGATAAGATGATCTGCTTGTCACGGCACGGTTTAATTGAAAGAAGTTTTGAAAAATGAATTTATAATCATTGGTCGATGAAACGAAGTTAAAGTGAGCCACATTGAAGAGTGAGGATAGGGTAAGACTTATTAGGATTCATCAAGTTATGGTAAAGAGTTGTTTTAAGTACTAACGTTCTCGGTGCTCTCATGTTTCACCACTAAGAACATCCAGATTTAAACATCCGAATAGTGTCTTTTCTTATTAGTGACACTATTCGGATGTTTAACTCTGGATGTTCTTATGTATGTCACTTCTTATTAGTGACATACTCCTCCGAGTGGTGACATAGAACTCAAGCACCATAAGGTTTTAACTTGTAAATGTATCCAATAAGAACTATACAATCACTATTGGCACTACAGAGTTTTACCTCCCAATAGTGACACATATTGATGTTAGATTTTCACGTCACTATTGGGAGGTGTCATTCACACGAGATTGGATAACATTTAGCGGATCAAATAGAAACATTCTCATTATACGTTTAGCGGATCCGCTAAATTATTAGTGGGTCATTTGGCGGATAGTATCATTTTTGATGATTTGTCTTCAAATTCAAATATCGGATTGTCTTTGGTAAGCATAATCTCACGTAGCCAAGGTAAAAAAAATTGTGGAAAAAATTAAAAAATTATATAGAATTATAAATTGTGAAAAGTGAACAACTAGAGCTGAGGAAATGTATAGAGTGATTTGTGTCTATTCAAACTTGTAAATTGGTTGACACAACAAAAAAAAAGTAAAGTAACATGTATTTGAATCAGACCCTCCAACAGTTTGTGCAGTAAATCAGTTCCGTACTGTGTATTGGTCTGCCGAGTCAGTAGTTTGTCGCAGTACAATTGGTTTTGGAGGCGGGAACTGATAGGTAGTGTAGTTTGGCCCCGATTTGAGAAGTGATAAACCGCGGTTACCAGTAAACTGCTAGATACGGCGAGCCATTTTTTGAATGGCGGCAGACCGTTTCTTGAACTTCCCCTTCTACACCCCAGGTCGACAACAATACCGTACACGTCTTGGTCAAGCGGCACCAAAATGTTAGATTCAAGCTTTGACAATGGTGTTAGCATCCTGACTTCTCTCGCACCATCTATCGATCCTACCGAGCGCGGGAAATGCAACAACCAGGACGCCAAACCCAGGCGGAAGTGATGGTCCGGGAGCGAAGTGAATCTCTGGAACCAGCAGCGCTAGAAGCCAACCTAGCGAAGCGCAAACGGGAAAAGACATCTTGGGTATGGAAACATGGTGAAGAGCGGATCATCGACAATGCGGATTGGTGGATGTGCAACCTCTGCCCGAATAGATCTACACCGAAGCATTACAAAGTATCATCGGGAATCCGCGCGCCAACCGAAAAGCACGGCAAGGAGGAAGAAATCAACTGCAAGGTGCAGCGCCTGGAGGAACGGAAAAAATCATATTGCAGCAACATTCAAAAATGTGGAGAGGCCCTGATGGGGAATGCAAATGTCAGGTCTTGATCGGCTACCAATCGAACAAGCAATGCTTTGTGCGTGTCGGGGTTCCAGAGACTGTAACCTGTTGTATTTGGCGACGCGCCTGGTGAATTTGCAAAAAGTACCATCTTTAACCGTTCCACATTTTTGAATGTTGCTGCAATATGATTTTTTCCGTTCCTCCAGGCGCTGCACCTTGCAGTTGATTTCTTCCTCCTTGCCGTGCTTTTCGGTTGGCGCGCGGATTCCCGATGATACTTTGTAATGCTTCGGTGTAGATCTATTCGGGCAGAGGTTGCACATCCACCAATCCACCACCACTAATTAAAGAAACAAAATTTAAATTTGATTCTTTAATTACTCTTTCTCAAGCTTAACTTTCAACTTTTAACTTTGACTCTGCTTGCCGCTAATATGGAATGGAACCACACCGTAAACCATGCTTTGACTTGCCCTTGCTGCCCCATGCCTTTCTTGCACTCGCTCACCTGTTATGTTTGCGCTCCTCCACATTGTGCTCCACGAGAAACGTGAGAAAAAACGGATTGGTAGTTTTGTAACCTCAATTTATTAAACTTTATTTGTCCACATAATCTCACCAAATAATGTTGTCCATTAGAATACGTGTTACGTTACTTTCATTTTGTTGTTTCAACCATTTTACAAGTGAGAATAGACACAAATCACACTATGAATTTTCTCAACTCTGCTTGTTCACTTTTCACTATTTATACTACTGCTTTACGTTGGATATCTCAGTTATGCTTTCTCACTTTCCACAATTTATAACTTTGCTTTACCTTTGCGACTTGAGATTATGCTTACTAAAGACAATCTGATATTCGAATTCAAAGACAAGTCATCAAGAACGATACTATCCGTCGAATGATCCTGAGATTATGTTTACTAAAGACAATCTGATATTTGAATTCGAAGACAAGTCATCAAGAATGAAACTATAGGCCAAATCAGCTAAACTTGTAATAAGATTGTTTGTATATGATCCGCTAAATGCTACCCAACCTGGTGTGAATGACACTTCCCAATAGTGACGTGAAAACCTAACTCCAATATGTTTCACTATTGGGAGGTAAAACTATGTACAACCAAGTTATACAACCTTTCATTTCATTATGAACATCACAAAGTCACAATCCATGATAGTAGCAGAGTGAAACAATGTCGGAAGATGCGTTGAAAGATGCGTTGATACCTACCTAGAAAGTAGAGTAGCAACACTACGTTTGTAATTCTACTTTGTGTGAGTTCTCGCTCAGAACTAGACTAAAAAACAGCTAGCCACGTTTAATTTTATCAACTTGTAGGACAACGACCAAGAGGTTGGATTATCAACGGAATAGAAATGAGATGATACCGGATTGCAAGCAACTTGTTCTGTCCATCTTCAGAGCTTTTCAACTAAGCATGTACTGGATGCTCTTTTCGGCCTTTTGCGGAACTCAAACGAAAATGCCGATAATATGTTTGAAAATAAATCCTTATTTTGGAAGGCCTTGGGCGAACCCCAGATTTTAGTCCGTACAAAAAAATCAAGCTGAAGTTTCACCACGTCTGATAATCCGCTACCAAGTTCACCATCCAAATTTTGCACTAAACGAGTTCACATAGACAACTTAAAACCACTCTGGTGTACACTAATTATAAATTTGGACCGTCAATCAAAGCATTATTAAAGTGCGCTTTGACAAGACGAAAGAAAAATCATATGTTTGGCAGGACTCTGGCGGTAATGTTGGAACTTGTGCCAAAGATGAATGGGGCGAGATAAGCAGTCTAATGGCAGTGCCTTAAACATGGAACCATGTCAAAGGCACCACCATTAGCATGTCAAACCTCCAACCCCGTGGATACAGAGGATGCATCGTGAAAACAATGCGCGTTGTTTTTGAACGTAAAGGCCACATGAGACGAACATGCACAAAAAGTAATTCAAAGAGCGAGTCACAACTCTTTAAAGGGAGGTTTGCCAAAGCAACGAAATGGGAGACGCATGAAACAAAAGCGAGGTGCAACCACAGCGACTGAGCTACAAAGCAAGAAAAGGACCTGCCGGGCGAAAGAAAAGAAAGAGGTAATCTATGCTGCGGTAAAGCACAGTGTCTTAGACCGTTCCTCCGATGTAAGAGCCCAAGCGACCAAGAGATGAGAGGGTGGGGGTTTTGTGTGCCACACATAAAATAGGTCGAGCACATATGGGTCAAAACTGATCGTACAGGGAAATTACAAACTGGATTATAAATATTCTTGGAACGAAATCAACTGTTCGGGCTGGAAACGACATAAACAGCGATGCCTGATTTCTGCCCCGGCCGAGAGCGAGCAGGAGCACCGGCAACTCGAAGCTCGGTCGAAAGTGAACTTCGCAGTAGGCCGAAATCCCAGCGACGAGGAGGCGACGGAGGTGCTCTCGTTCTCTTCCCAGTGGAACGATGCGTCGATATGGAATCCTCCGTAGCGGCGGCGCGGCGTGACTGGCGCAGCAGCAGTGACATCTTTTTCGATTCCAATCTCTATGGTACACTTCAATGGCGATCAAGCCTCGGGCCCGGACGGTGCTCCCGCTTCGCAGCACATCGCTCCCAGAGTTTGTGAAACCTCGAGTCTCAAGCACCGAGCTTCCCAAAGTTGTCGGAGGCCGAGGCTTCCCCGTCACGCATCGCCGGCGCCGCCAGCGGGGGCCGTTGCAGGTTCGGATCCGACAACGCTCGACACGCTCTCCGCCCGCTGCTGCAACGGGCGGGGCGACAGGGTGGGGGTGGGGGAGGGGAGGCGCTATGGGAGGAGCGTGGTTTGGATGAGCAAGCGGGCGACGACGTAGGGGTCGACGTTGGCGGCGGGGCGGCGGTCCTCGAGGAAGCCCTTGTTGGCGACGGCGACGGGGAGCGGGATGCGGACGGAGGCGCCGCGGTCGGCGACGCCGGATTTGAAAGTGCGGAGGCTGGCCGTTTCGTGCGTTTTGGTGAGGCGCCGGTCGTTGCCGGGGCCGTAGAGAGCCACGTGCTCGGGGTGCTTGAGCGCGAGACGGTCGATGGCGCGCAGGATGGCGTCCATGCCGCCGTCGGCGCGCATGGCCGCGGTGGAGAAGTTGGTGTGCGCGCCCGCGCCGTTCCAGTCGCCCGGCACGGGCTTGGGGTCGAAGGTGCAGATGACGCCGAAGTCCTCGCCCAGCCGGTGCAGCAGGTACCGGGCTATCATGACCTGGTCGCCCATCTCCAGCGGCCCCGCCGGCCCGATCTGGAACTCCCACTGCCCCGGCATCACCTCCGCGTTGATGCCGCTGATCTTCAGCCCCGCCTGCCACCACCACCATTCCACTCTCAGTCCATCTCTGTTGCTCCTGCTCGACATCCATCTTCTCTACGAGCCACGCTCGATGATTCGATCACCCGCACCTTTCATGGACATTCGATCGGTCGATCGGCCGGAGTTTTTTCGACCGATCTTGAGGGTTCGGGGCTCGATTCTGAGTTCGGATTATCCTCGGTCCGTCGTGCATCGTGGGAGAAGGGCATTCATTTGACGGGATTGATCCGACATCGAAGAAGCTCAACTCGATTGCGTCTATTTGGTCGATGCTTCTTTCTGTCCTAGGTCATTTTTCGATCGGTTGATAAGGTTCCGACAGACCGTCCGACCGATCGATCTCGAGACTTCAGGGCTCGGATGCTCGGCTCGGTCGATCTCGAGACTTCAGGGCTCGGATGCTCGGCTCGGTCCGTCGTGCATCAAGGCAGAAGGGCATTCATTTGACGGGATTGATCCGATATCGAACCTCAACTCGATCGCGTCTACTTTGTCGATGGATTCTTTCTGTCGATGGGGTGATAAGGTTCCGACAGACTTACCGACGGACCTCGAGGCTCGATCTACGAAAATAGGGAATTCGTTCGACGGGATGGTAGGATTTGGGCCGACATTGAAGCTCGCCTCGATTGCTTCTGCCTACTTTGTCGATGGGTTCTTTCTATTCTAGAAAATTTTCGGGAGGAGAGGAGAGGAGAGCACTGACCTTGACGCAGGCATCGAAGTGAGCTTCGACGAATTGGCGGCCGTATGCGGACTCGAGGCCGACGCCGCAGTAGAAGGGGCCTTGGGGGGCCGGGTAGCCAGCTCGGGGCCAGCCGTAGGGATGGCCGTCTCGGCCGAACATGGTGTACTCCTGCTCGAAGCCGAACCATGTGTCTTGCGCGATGATGTCCTCCGTCAGCGTATCCGCCAGCAGACGCCTCTTGTTCGTGCGGTGCGGGTTGCCCTCCGGCGTCAGGACCTCGCACAGCACCAGCACGCTGTTGCCGCCTCGAATCGGATCAGGGCACGTGAACACCGGCTTCAAGATGCAGTCTGAGTTGTTGCCGATCTCTTGTTGCCCCGTACTGCTCGATTCCAATCGCAGCCGGATCAGTGAGACACGCATATTGTTGCAGCATTACTCGCACACTGCGATCGTCGATTGATCGATCGATCTTTGAGATGCACAACTGACTAAAGAGCAGAAAATCGTGGAACGAATCAGAAGCATATGAAAGGACGACTTTCGGCCAGTAAAATATTTCCCTCTTTGGCTTGCACGTGATTAGTTACAGTCGAATCGGTCATGAGGACTGCTGCAGCAGCCATGTGACAATGCGATTGTCGATGGATAAGACACCCGACGGGGAGCAGATGGATGAGTGAGTAAAGTCAGTGACACAAATCAGATGCATCTGTGAGTTTCTGGGCTTCAACTTCTTACAGGTTATGATCTCTATGCTGATACGAGTTCACCTCGTTTCCAGTCCTTAACTGGGTTGGAGTGAGCTGATGAAGGGTTTTAGATTGTCACGAAGCTCCGGTTGGGCCCGACATAGCTTCAAGTTGGAGACGATGATTGGTGCGACGGAATTCACGCGTGCGAGCTTACCTGGAGCCGTCGAAAGACCACTCTGGGAAGTCCAGAGATCCGATGGGAAGGGGTTTTTGGATGCACTTGGTCTTGGTACGCATCTCGTTGAACCTGATCCCTTTGAGACCTTCCTGCCCGTCCATCCATATGTATTCCGCCTTCTGTGCAATCTCGGCCACGATTCTCCATGACCGAGCCTGGAACGACAAACGACAATATGAAATCGTCAGATCACGTCGGAATGTCGGATGTTGAACATTCTCTACCTCGATCAAACAATCAGCCCTTTCCACGGACATCTGATAACTTAAAACTCTTTCTCATCTGGGTCCTGAACTCGCAAACCGGTTTCCAAATTATCACATGCTTAATAATGTCTACGAACAGTTGATCTGAAGTAGATCAGAGCATAATGGGAGCGAAGGCAAGGGCATGAAATATTAGTGATGGTATGCACGTTGGGCCAAACTGGACGATCATGAAGCTTGCAAGCGGAGCCTTACCTCTCTTCTGTCAGAAGTGCCAACGCTGATATAGCTTCGGAGTTCATTCTTATGCTGGGAGAAACCAGACACACTTTTCTGATCCACAAAGAAAGCAGAAGCAGTTTTCAGAAATATTGGCTGCTCGTCAAGAGGTAGCCAAACCACAGAGGAGAGAAAATTTTGTGGAAAAAAATCTGACGAATAGATGAATCGAGATGATGAGCACAATACAGTACTAGCATATAATAATCATATTCAAACGTGCGAAGTTATGGATTTCGAGGTGGCCCCAGAAGGCCTCCAAATTTCAATGTCCATCAAATTTCGAACATATTTCTCATCTGGTATGCGACTCTCAAGCCGTGCTGAAATCATCACCGGCTTTTCTACCGAAAGAACAAGTCTCGAAGATCCGGACTAAAAACAATCATGTCCAAATGGACTTACAAAGCACGTATGAAGCTGGCTAGTGATGTGGAGTGCTGGAGAGTGGAGGGAATGGTGCGTGGTGGGATCATGAGAAATCTGCGATGTGGATCACAACACGAGCTCGAGGTGCAGAGAGAGTATCTTAAAAATAGTCAAATTCGACTGAATCGGCTGAGTGCATGTATGAGTTCTAAGTCGTGCAAGTGCAAGCACACACAAAGACACACCAATGCTTTGGCCAAAGACACCGTAGAACTCCTTGCAGCGAGGGCAGTGATCTCCAGGGCAGTGCTCTTCTGGGATCTGGGTCTGCTGCTGCATGGCCATGATGATGGTGCTGCAGCAGCAGCCCACGCTTGCCTTGATGTTACCACACAGTTCGCTGCACACGCCATCGCTGCAAACCTCTCTCTACCTGCTCTCCAAATTTCTTCTCCCTTCTCGTGACCCCTCAACCATTCTTAAAGTTCCTTCCTCTCCTCCCCTCCCTCGCCTTGTTCCCTGAGTCCTCGATCGGTCGTCCCTGGAGCGCTCTCGCCCTCTCCCAGAGTCAGGCTGGAGTGCTCGGGACTTTTATTAGCTGTGCCCTCACGAACCTCCTAATCTGAGACCGCTCTCGAGATTCCGACAAGTCAATTGTTCAACTGGGCCTCGTTCTTTTTGTTCTCCTCTGTAATTCCTAATTACGTTGCTTCTCGCTTCCAACTTACTTCCCTCCCTCGGTTCACAAAATGCTGCCAGCTATGCCCACATTGTTCACAGTGCACATTGTAACAGCAAGGGGCAACCTTGATCATTGGCAGCACCGTGAAGTGCATCACTTTGTCATGACAGAGATACAGTGAATGCATCATTACTCATCAGTCCCAGTGGCAAACTCCTTCGAAATCACAATCACCACGATCGCCCCTACCGCAGCCCAGAGGGGCTGCAGGGCCGACGGAAGGTACCATGGCATTATAGTTTCTGCTCGCCCAACGCACCCATAGCGCGCGCTCTTACCGAATGATCTAGCTTTGGGGGAATTTCTAGAAGTCTGTTCAGCTTGGACGTATGGTAGAGAGCAGCTGGGCCAGAAACAAGAGTTCACTTAACCTCGGCATCCTTACATAGCTAACAGACTTCAATCCGATCGATGTTCATATGTTTGGACTGCTACTGCTTCTTCTACTGCAGTTATTCTTTCAATTCTGTGGTAAATCAAGAAAATCTTCGCAGATCCGCACTCTGGATAGTTTACAAATCATTGGGATGAATGAGTAGAACTTTCGTCAATGAGAGCTTTTCATATCCATAAGGGAGGTACAGAATCCAGATCCGTTGACGTTGTAGATTACGTAATGTAAGATGGAGAAATTTTGGTAGAAGCAGAATCCTGCTCCCTATTTTCCATCACAATCTCGATCTCTTCTTTTCTTGTCAGGTAGGTCTGTATTCCATCCACGACTCATTTCCGACGTCCCACCTCGTCGATCAACCTCTCGCCCTTACGCTCTCACAAAGGGTCCACCAACAGTTGTGCTCGTCTGCGAAGCGAGGACATGAATCCGATCCAACGCTGGACTACGAGACAGTCTGATGGTCTGTTTCGTCCCGAATCCACGCACTGCAACATGCTGGGCACGGAGATTCTGATCTGACCAGGGCCAAGGAGTTTTATTTCAACCTCAGGGCTTACTCCGAACGGACTGCTGCTGGTGGATGGTCGCTCCGTCGATGGATCATGGTCTGCTAGTGGCCTGGCCATCTACCTGGACTCGATTGCCAGTGGACGAATCTCGACGCTGTGTGACTGCCTGACTGACTGAGGGAGGAAGATTTGGCTGTAGAAATTTCTATTCATCACGTCCAGAGATAATTCCCTTTCCCCACACTACCGAGCGTTAGATGAGCTCTTGATATCACGTAAGGACGTGAAACAGTCTTTCCCGGCCCGATGGATTTTCTCCTAGACTTGCCTCCCGTGATCTTGGCAAGGATCATGGAACGCAACTCCAGCAGTACACGTGCAGTGCGACTTCGGCAGCCATGATTGGAAAGGTGCATGTCTTTGCATGAGGTGGAGGTATACTGGTCACAGATTCCCATCTCATCTCCTGGACAGCTCTAAGCCAATCGAGTCTGCCACTTGAGTCAACGAGCTGAGACGAGGCGATATATATAGAGCTCGTTGTAGAACGTTGCGTGGTTAATGAAAGGACAAGTAGTCCAATAGAGTCCACGAGGTCCTAATATACATATTATGTTATGGTAATTCAATCCATGGATTTGTCTCACTGAAGAGAAAACATCAGAACGATGTGTGAGGATTTGAGTGGTTTTCTACCGATTCTGCTTGTCAAGCTGGTCAGATGACAAACTCGGTGCCATCCATGGCCGAGAATAACTGCCTGCAGTGACAGTGAGTCCGGGTTTTGGTCGTGAATTAGGAATTAGTCCACTTTCGTTCCATGAAAGATTATTCACGATGTTTGTGTCAGAGATCTCTTGCTTATTGCAATGTCTGATATACCTTCTGTACGGGCTCGTGTGGACGAAGCATCCCTCGGAAGATCATCTCAAGCCCTCCACGGACTCTAAGGTGCTATGCCGATCCATACGAATCCATGAAATTTCAGACCATTATGATGAATCAGATGAATTCGGGCAAACTTGTCGCTTATTCGTTCAGCACACGGGTCTAGACTGGTCTGCAAATGCATATTAACACAGAATGGCGCCTGAAATTGGATAGCTGAAATCTTCACAGCCGTCATGAGCTTGCTTGCTACTTACCCAGCTTTGAACTCAAGGCCAACTATCTCCTTTGACACCTTCTCAGCTCTTCTTAGTCCATGTCTGATTGCTTGGGAAGAGCAAACCCACGAATTCCATTTTGGCTTGTTTTTGCTTGGAGATTTAATCGTTGTGCGTACTTCTATTCGCTGGTCAGAGTGACAGCAGAGAGTTTTGAATGTAGCTGATTTATTCTATTTTGTTTAAAAAACTAAACCCTACAAAATCATTTCCTGCTTCAACTGCATCTCGTAGATCAAATTTGTTGGATAAAGGGATCAATCGGACCGTGGATGCTTGTAGCTCGTCATGTTCAATGTTGCAGTCTATACATTCGAGGGTGATTGAAGTTCCTACACTACTGTTGCTACTGCTTCTACTCGTCGTCGTCCTCCTTCCTCTCTGTGACTGCCTGCTTATGTTCTCAGATCGTCTGCAAGATGCAATAGTACGCTGAGGAGCTCGCTCACATTCAGCACCGTTGGACGATAGACAGCTTCAGACAGTGACAACCGTGACTGACTGACATCCACAAAGAGAGAATGAGCTGAATGTGATGACAGGAAGGGAGCCAGTACATGGAATCATTGTGGACTCGACACCACGTGCCAGCTGAGAAGGGAATTTGAAGGCATGGTGCACACAAGTGGAACGGTTTGAGCTGAAACCTGATACACCTCATCACCGAAGTATCTCATATCATGGCTTCTTGTACATAGCAGATTAGTCAGGGCACCGTCGAGAAAGTTTTGGGCATGGTACTGTCTGCCTGAAAGTTTTATTGCGGTCCCCGCACACACTAGTAGATTCTGGCTGAAATGAACGTCAAGAATGAATTTGTTGTGGAAGGATAAGGTACTTTGGCAACCGGATGAGCTGCGATACAGATTGTTTACAGAAGTGGTTGCCTTGCCTTTACAGGCCACCCAGCCAGGGCTTTGGAGTTGTGGCGGAGATGCTAGTACAAAAACTTTACGTAGTTTTGACTTTGGACCAAGATTTTGGAATGTGCTATATATTTCACCGAGGCAAAGAAGTGAATAAAGCACGAGAATTTTCAAACCGTCTAGATGCTGGAAACTGTAAAATGATGTGGCTTGTGGTTGGCCTACAAGTCTGAATGTTTTGGTTCACCAGAACTCGTGCTGTTTTAGTCAGATTGCGTTTGACTGCCGGAGGCAAGTGTAATGGATACTTAATCCGAACAAAGGATCGATGACGAAAACGCTTAGAATTCCATAACTCAGTTTCCATTCAGGACATGATCCAATCGCCTTTCTTTCAATGCGAAGGAGTGGTGGATTGAACCTGTGACTTGTGTGCCGAACGTTTTCCTAAGTTCCCATACGTCGTGCCAACCGATTCTTGAGACCATACCTGAAACAAGTACTCAAGTCCTCATCACCGCAAGAGGTGAGCATTTTCCTCGAGAAGTCTTTTTGGGTAACTTACACCGATCATGATCATAGATTTGTCACGGCCATGCGTCCTCGAAAAAGATAAAAAATTGCGAGTCTGACTCTTCCAACCATATCAACAACTGCTGAGATTCGATTTGAGATCGGATGAGATTCTCATGGTTACCATAGGGAGGTCGAGTTCCTGTTCTTTTGATGATTATCAGCCTAAGAACTTGACTTGAATTTCATTCTCAATGAAATTTAGGTAGCTAGCAAGATTTCCAGGACTTATGGTCAGGTCAGAGATCAGAGCATTGACTCTGCAAGCTCAGCCTGTTTTGTATCTATATATGCAAGATACATTTCAGCACGACTGTGAATTGGATGTAGTAATGTCCTGGAAAACTTGACAGGATGTTACATTGTCTCGAGGATTCTCCACGAGCAGTGTTATCAGGTATCGGGCTGTTCATGATTAGAAGATGCGCAAAGCATCTCTACGTTGGCCTCAGAAGCGTCGGGATGAAGAAAGGTCCAAAAGCCATGTTCTCTCCGCCTTTGTAGCCTTTGGATGCGTTGACATGAATATGAAACAGGCCGAGCTCAAAACCTCAGAATTGATCCAGGTTCTGACTTTATCATCGCACAGGGCCTCGCACAGTGTGTGAACAAGTGCATCGATCCTGAAATTTTGTTGCTGTTGAGAAAAGGAAATTCCAGCGACATAAATAGATCAAATGACTGCCATGTAGTTGAGATGGTTACACTTGCAGGTCATGAACGAAAGCATAATTAATCAGCGCGAGGGAGGGAGAACAATAGAGAAGACGGTACGATGTAACTGTGCTGTTCCCGAAGATCGCTCCTGAGTTCATCTCCAGAATCGACATCATGGCGGGTGCTCGTGCGCAGGTCTCATCATCATTCTGGCTCCAGTGAGTTCACCTCTCGCTCGCGTCCCTTTGGTTGAGTCACACCTTGGAGACTGTCCCTTCCCCGATCGAGCTGGGGGAAGAGTTATCGCACTTCCAGACTCTGAAAATTGCTGGAAAACGACGGCAAACCTCCACCTTGACGAGCAGAAGAAGACCTTCACGTCACGGCCATGCCATAGACCTGCAGCTCAGGAGCACCTCACAGGTTACTAAGAAACAGCAACTGGCGCAGGCAAATTCTGTCTCGAGCTTGGGGCTGCTGAAGTTGCGACTCTAGGAACTAACTTTCTCAAATCAGGAGCCCCGTCGCTTCAGTCGCCTCAAGTCCCAACAGCACTCCAGTGCACGAAGAGACAACTTTGAAAAGACTTCTTATGTCTTTGACATGTTATTCATAGTATGGCGGCAAAGCTTTTCTTTCGATTCTTGGTCAGAATATGCTGTAAGGAAAAATTTGCAATGCAATATATAGTGATGAAATATGAACCACCATAAGTTACTGCCGTGATATAATAGAGCAAATAGACAATTCACAAGAGCATATGATACCTCAGTATAATATGTCATTGTTTTTTTTTTAGCAATACAGTGAGTTCAATTTTGTAGAAACTACTGTTAGTAAATTCTTACATATTGTATCTAATAATTTGTGTAAGGTGATTTGATTTCTACTTCAATATAAGGCCAGATTGAGTGAATTGATGAGAAATAATAGATAATATATCCATCATATTATATACTTAATGTTACAAAAATATAAGGTGCCATGCTCACGTTCTACTCTCAAAGAGATCATGTGTGCTTCATTGCAGAGCCCTTACGATCAGTACAAATCACTTATTATATCTCAGAAAGTGAGTGGTGGTCAAGATCTCTCCCAACTTTTCGATATATGTATGGTGAAGTGGTTGGCCGGTTGTTTGAACCTTGGTTAGACGTTGTTATTTAACCGTCTCCGTAGCTTAGATTTGCCAGTTTTATTTCCTGTAATCTCAATATATAATAATCGGATCCAAAACCTCTTTGTTGATCACCTTTGCAATATTATCTGATGATTCGATATCGTTTAACAAAATATTTGCACTAATCTAAACTGCGTTTCGATGCTATTTCTCCGAACAATATACACTGTACTCGATATAAAAATCATAATTAACATACCATGGAAATGTAATCTTTCTCCAATATTCAAAGTTGTTCTACTTGTTGTATAGATATGTGTCATTTTTGCACTTCCCAATTTGAATTTAATCTAGTAACGTTTAGTATAATTCATAGTTGATACAATAAGCGCTCTTAGAGGAGACAAATTACTGAACATTAGAATGCGATATTTCGAAATTGCTTTACTGGTCAGAGGTGTGGATCGTATGGAAAAAAACGGACTTCCTTTTCCTCTTACACACTTGAATTAAATCTGTCGTAAACGTCGAATGTTGTGAATGACCCTTTCGAGATCAACACTGTTTGATGATAATCTATCTAATTTCAATGGTTGCGTTGCAACAAAGAAAGGAAATCTACGTCCAGTTATTGCGTGATTCATTCGGTGGTGATGATGCTAGTGGTACCTAAGAATTATTACAATATGAAGTATTTTTATATATGAAAAATTAATATATTTTTCATAACGAAAATGAGAAATAGAGAACAACTGCTTTACTGTTCCCCATAGCTCGTCTCCTAAAATACATGGGGACGTAATTTAATATACTGTATTTTTCTGTTTCAGAAAGCTTCAAACTTGGAAACTTTAGTTGTTATAATCCATAGGTCTCCAAAAAATAGTCAGTTGTCCAAGTAATACAAGGGTTGCTTCGTTTCAGTTGTTTTATCACCTAAGAAAAATTTTGAGTGATTCACCATGGTAGCATTTCGTGTATGATGCCACGCTCGCTAGCCTATTTTGTTCACATTCTTACACCGCGTCCGTTCAATAGTGTCTCGAGAAATATCTCCCTTCCGAGTGACGCATGAGTAAATAATGGGAGCTTAGAGAGAATACACGCACGAACGAGAGTGTGAAATTGAGAAATCAAGATATATTTTCAATAAACTCCATAAGCAATTGGCGCCATTTGTGGATTTTTTATCGATCTTGAGTGGACAATTATTCAGACAGACCAGGCATCATGATTCTCTTGCGTGCAGTTAACTTCACCACGAGAAATGAACTCAGGTTTTACTCAAATGACAAGGAAATATTTTTTTTGTGCACTCAAGAGGCTTAGAGAATTAATGTTTTTTGTGAGAGGGAAGAATTTAGGCTTTAAATCTAGAGACAGGAAAAGCTGCGTTGTGACAAAAAAAAAACAAAGAGCATGAGTAGTGAGAAGGAAAGCTCAAGTGTACTTCGAACGACGAGGAAGGAATGTACCTGAGAAATAAGAGGCTCACGTTTCACTAGCAGCAATGCAAAATTTAAATTTCACTCTAGATGAATGCAGTTTGTTACCTGATTCTAGATCTAGTTCTTAATCTAGTATCTTGGATTATAAATGGAGTTTAGACATTCATTGTTGAGTTTTTTTTGGATATTGTAAATAGTTGATCAATTTCTTTTTGACTGTGATGATGAAGATCTCAATGATATTTTAAAAAGATAATACATCAAAAGTAGAGCAGATGAGCATTGAAAGTGATCAATCGTTTCAAAGATATAACTTGAACATAGACTTTGAATTGAATTCTACAACATAGAGCTAAGGAGTTTTCAGAGCGAAGGAGCGCGCATAGAATCATGAGGATGAACGCGTTGAAATAATGAACCTACACTAGTTTTCATCTACGCTTCATCTAATTTGCCTAATATGAAGAATACAAGAAAATTTCTTTCTATTTCAAGTATATCTCTATTATTAGTCAATGATAAGAGAACGTAGGGAGATATTTGATTTTGCTCTTTTAGAAGTGTAAGAGATAACTCAATGAACCTTTTAGATATGACTGTTTTTTTCAAATTTTTTTTCTTCCTCCGTATCCATGAGAAACTAGTTAGAATATCATTGAATTAAGAAGATTGATTTGCCACTCATTTAATATTTTGAGTGTACAGGACGAGTCAATAGATGGTGGAGTTTACATTATTATTATTTTGTAAATTTTTTTTCTTTAAAATTTCACTCCTTTTCGAAGGCTTATCGATAGCAGAATATAATACATCCAGTCAACATGTATACATGATACATTACTTTTTTTACTGAAATCTACGTTCTATTATAGAAGAGAGTTAACAAGATAAGAATTTGAAAGCTAGATTAGCATAAGTTGAATGAAGTATTTGTATATATTGCAAGAGAGCTAAATCAAGTTCACACACATTAATTTTCTAGTATGACGATATAACATGTTTGATATAACTCTGTTTATCGGTGCATAATTTTTTCACCCCAATTATAACAAATTTTACATTTGTGATATGATGAAAAGTATACATACACTGCATTTCCCTTTACTTTTGGTTTATGGCTATTCTCATAGAGTAAACTAGTGTTTTTTTATACATGTTAGAGAGTTCATTTTATTCAAAGTATTCGAGTAGAATACATTTACTTTTTCTAGTCTTCAAACATGCTCCACACATGTCATGTCATGTCATGCCATGACATATCAAGATTGGTATTTTCTACACCCGAAAAACACCAATGAGCACTCTAGTTCTATATGATTATTCTAGATTATTACAGGAAAGTGAATTTTTTTTTGAAAATACGATAGTTCTAGATGTTAGTCAATATGTTGCACTGCAAAGAGATTAAAAAACATTATATCAATTTCTGGTTGTTAATTCTTACTATAAATTATGAATTTGATAGTAATCATGCAACATGTTTTAATTTTTAAAAATTATATAGTTTCACACCAATTTGAAGCTCTTAGGTTGGGAGATTTTACAGCAATATCCTTAATAACTAGGTTCTTGTAATGGATGTTGAAACGCTCAAATATCCATCATTTTTTTCATGATTTTCATAGATACAAGGACATTTATCAATTCTCTATCTATCTGTACAAGTTTTAACGGATTTTTACTTTTATCATTAACATGTCTCCTAATATTTTTAAAAAACATTTATTGAGTTCTTACGTATAACTTGCTGAGAAATAATTTAGCTATATTTGACTAGATGCATCATATGTCTAGTGTTTCATTCATGTCACCTCGTATGTTCAGATCAATTCACACACATATTTGTGAACTAATTTTGAAAATTTTAGACAAATTTTCAATCATTTGAGTATCAATTTTTTGCCTTATAGACTTGGATTTTAGATAAGTATACTTCAAATTTTATTTTGGAATATGATATCATTAAAGGAAAACCTTTGCGATCTTCACAATGCATTAGATAATATATTTAATGCATTGTGAGATGATATTATTTTTCGCACATATATATTATAAAGGCATCATTGAAATTTTTTGTGGAACTTTAAATAGTTTCGTTCTATCTCCATCTTGTATCGCCTAGTTTTTTTTTTTTAGAATTCCTCATATCTTTATCAAGCTTGAAAATTTTTGATAGACTTATCCTGGATTTTTTTATATCAAAATCAACAATCCTTGAATGTGTAACAAAAGTTTTAATTCAGAAAAAAATATTTTTAGAAATTCTATTTGCATAAGTGTATTATTGATGAAATGGATGTCAGATATAGTATTTCTAGACTGTTCATTGCTCTTCAAACCTTTTTATCTTGTTCTTTGTGGTTGCAGATAGCAGTATCCTTAGGTACATGTGTTAGAAATGATAATATAGGATTATATCCTTAGCATGTACTTTTCCTTCACAGAAGATACAACAAGATTTGTAGAAGTACAACATGTATGATTTTTATTGTTTTATTTACCAATCAAACTTAAAACTTAGGTCTTATTTGGATGAAGTTACAAATCAGTAATCTCTCTCTTAACTCTAACTGTATTCAACCATTCTTTTTCGTGTATCTTGAAGTCTATATTATGCTCTTGCAATGGCCTGCATTATTGTTATGTGGAATTTAAAACTACTCTAAAGAAAGCATGTCCTTACTTTGCTTTATGCACATTTGAAGCGCATCGGTTTATGTAATATATGAAAACAATACTGAAGTATCATACTCAGAACGGAATTAGCTCACACAAACGAAGCTTTCAAAATACAAGAATTTGCAAAGATGTAATATATAAAACCATATTCACTATATTTCTCTCTTTATATATAAAACCATGAAACCGAAGTTACCGTACAAGTTAGTGAAACAGTGATAGAGACTGTATATTAGTAGGTGGCAACGTGTTTCCAATGGTGTATAAAAAAAATTGATTTGTATATCATGTAAATCATTGTAGTAAATCTCATTTTGTTTTTATAAGATATATAGTACTTTGCAGTTTTTGTATCTGATTTGTGTTGACTTCTCGAGAGATTCCGATGACTTTATTTATCCACTTGGCACGGCGATACGGGTTTGACGATGTGCTGTGCGAGGCCAAGGGGTGGATAGAAGAGACACAGTGGTGCGCTGAATCTCAAGGACAGCGATGGCGTCCAGGGAGACCGTGCGTGCACCACGCCTGCTCCTGCTCCTGCTCGGCACACGAAGTCCATGCGCCCCCAGGTTGAACTCGATCAGCAGTCAATGTCTCATGCGTCGGGTGTCCTGGTCCGTATCCACTGCACCTCGAAGGACGACTGAGCGAGCGAGCAGCAGGGCGTACTCGACAGCACGGGCATCGTTGTGCAGGTGTAGAGAGAGAATGTTGTGGTCAGGAATGTCGATTGTCCTCTCGTCCACCACCATCTCCACTCCACTCCACTCAGCTGAGCGTGTCGCCTTCGTCAAGGCTCCACGAGAGACTCGGACTTTCATTCGTGCTCATGCATGAGTCCAGAGCCTACTTGCGAGCAATCGTCTGGACGAGATGCCCACTGACAGAGATCGTTCCGGGTGATGGAGGCTCTCGCAGCCTTCGACTTGTAACGCCTGCTTTGATTCTGCGAGCGACTTGTCTGCCTGCCTCGGAGCTCCACGGCTCCGTTCTGTCCTTGGGCACCATGGCACGGGCCCGACCTCCTCTGCCAGACCGCAACCCCATCACGGACATGGCCCTCCCTCCTCCCGATGCTTCCCACTGTCTGTCATCTGGACACTAGACACCATCCGTGACTGCATCATCAAGATTCTCGTGAGCTCGGACATTGCAGCCTCAGAGAGTGACAACATTATAACTCGGGTGTCATTCACATTCACTTCTTCCACCTTCCTCGTCCTTTCGCATGACAATTGCTCGGACGGTCATTGATGGAGCTGTGCAATTGAGCAGCTGCAGCTGTGTAGGTTCGAAGAGATGGGAATATTGTAAGGCTGAATTTCCATGAAGGTGTGGGCCCGTGAAATTCATCGAATGAAACGGAAATGCTCCGAGGATGATGAAGCCCATCACCATGAGCATGATGAACCCCATCAGCCGTCACGAGGGGTTAATACACGAGCAGAAAACAAATGCACGAATCTGGTGCTCGGCATCTGACTGTGAACATGCACATGCAAAACAGAAATTTCGATTCCGGATGCTGTGACTCATTCATTCTTTCCTCTTGACTTTGCTCCACTCCACTCCGGGAGAAAAAGCCTCATCCAGACATTTAGAGAAGTGCGAAACAGGATTCAGACAAGAGGCCGTGGACAGAAGGTCTGAAACAAACCGCTTGCAGCACGCAAGCGCTTCCTCGTTTTGGCTTCATTAAGATTGCAGGATGAGCTTACACAAGGTGACAAACAGATTCATGCGTGGGAAACTCAGACACTGGCTCGAGCTCCGATCAATCCTCGACAGATCTGCTCGTTGGGGTCGGAGAGATCCAGAGGCCCGAGAAGCGTTCTCCATCGTCAGAATAAGCAAGCAAAGTAAGCAAAGCAAGCGCTGCCCGATCACAGGGTGCTCGATGCGGCGCAAGCCAAGCGAGGCCGACGACGAAGCATCATCGAAGCTCGTCGACGACGCTCAGCAGTCGGCGTACTCGCCGGTCTCGAGCAGATATTTGGCCAGGCCCTCGAACGTGGGCTGCGTTCCCTGCTTCGCTTGCTCGGTGGCCACCTGGATCACCGGACCCTCGCCCTCGTAGTCGAAGGTGAAGTGCATTTGGGTCTTGTCGCCCTCGGGGCTCAGCTTCAGAGTGCTGTCCCACTTGCTGAACCCCATGGCCAGATGCCCTCCCTCCACCTCGCTCGACACCACCACCTTGTTCTCCACGTCGATTGCCACCAGCTTCTCCACCACGTACGCCCCCTCGGGAGCAGCTGCCGAGCGACCACACCACAATCCAATGACCGTCTCGTTAGATTCAGATCAGCAGGCACGAGAATTCCAATACGCTCCAACTCGTGCCTCGATGGTTCGCAGCCCCGGAATTCCTCGAGGCATGAGATGCTGCCGACACTGAGAAGTAATCATTTGAGGGCTTTGAATTTCCCCATGGAGTGCATGGAGTCCACGGCAGCTGGCAGCTGCAGTCATCTCAGATTCAGACCAGCGAGGGATATTGGGATGGAGAGAGGGAGGCATTGATGGGATGGTTGTATTGTTCGAGGCACAGAGATGAAACGATCTGAGCTGCCATTGACGAGCAGCTCCTCGATGGAATGGCAAATGATTCGGTGCATCGACACCATAGTAGTCACGCGAAGCGATGGCTGGGGGACTGCAGACAGACACGCAGAAGGAAACCGAGAAAATTTAAGCGTGAAGGAGCGCTAACCTGATCCGAACTTGATGTAACGAGTGGCTCCGACTTCGCCATCGGTGCCGGAGACGATAGAGATGCTGCCAAAGATCTGGGGGTTGATCTTGGGGAAGATCTTGCTCCCGTCCTTCAGAGCTGCCCACAAGCGGGAAGCCGGCACATCGAGCACGAATTCCACGTCGAACGAAGGCATTGTCACCGGTTTTGACTTCTTCCGAACCTTAATAAGGAGGAGGATCTATCAACCGACTAGAAAGCGTTCATGCGAATTCTCTCTAATGCGGAAAGATTTGATGATCTCTGCGCCGCTCCCCCTGCCCTTATAAACCCCATGCCTCCGGCCACAGCAGCAGCTGCTGCAGCTGCTGGACGAGTGCTGAGAGACTTCCAGTGGACCAAGAGTCCACAGTCCGTCGTCATCAATGGCTTGCATCATCAATATTCTCACACGATCGGCCCCAGGCAACAACCGTGCTCGAACCAATGGCTCCATTAAGTAACGGATTGCAGACGAGCATGGAACCAGAGTCCGGACCTGACAGCTCTCGACACGTCGTCCTCGGGGCTCAAGCTTCGGGATGAGGGCCAGTCGACAGAAGGAGCGAGGTCTCTAAGGTCGCCAGGCGGCCGGCCGGCCGGCCGGCCAGCCAGCCAGCAAGCCAGCCTCGGAGCTCGGGGCCGCTGCTCCTCTCGGTGATCGAGCCTCCTCAAGGATTCGGGCTCAGATGCCTCAGAGTAAAACCTTCGTCAGATGCATCGACCACGAGCACGAGCCGTGAAACTCGAACCCGAACGACGACGAGAGATTTCGGTGCGTTTGTCTGACGTGCGCGATCATCCCAAACAGTCCTTCTCAGAGTGGACCGTCATGGCCTTATGCACCGAGCTCCCCTCGAGTCACCGGGCGTTCACATTCATGCGCCCCATTAATGCGTCCCCGCACCCGGCCTGTCTTAATTTTCGGTGGGCCATGGGTCCTGGCCAGGCCCCCGTCCATTGCTGCCTGCGTCGAACCCCGCAGGATATAACAAATTCTTTATTCGCTCGGTGATCAACAGTCCGAGCGCACGAGAGAGCACGACATATGCAGTCGCCGGCGGGTGGGGTCTGGAGGGATGGTGTCGACGGGCTGGCCGCCGGATGGACGATGCGCTTCGTATCATGTGATGAGCTTTCGATCCGATCCGGATCCGGAACTGGCAAGCTCGGGTCGAGGATCGCAGATCTGCAAGAGTGTCATGACTCACTCTTTCCTGCGGCTTCGGTCTCTCGATGGTCGAAGAAGCCGTGGGTGGGGCTCGAGCGGCGGCAGTGACGACGACGACGACGACGGGGGATTACGAGGGTCAGCTGGCCCGAGCCTTCAGAGGTTGGATCTGGTTCTGGCTCTGATGCAGGCTCATCTCGCTCACGCCGTGCCGCCGGATCGGTCCGAGCGCAATGCCTTGGGTCCTGACGAGATGGCACGAGGAAGAGCAGTCCAGCTCGAGCGAGGGTCGGGGGGCCTGGTGCTGACCGGGTCAACGATCATGGCTTGAGAGAAGCGTCTGTGCATGGCATGCAAGTCCTCCGGGGGCCGAGCTCTCCGGCTGACGAGTCGGTGGCCAATGGGCATTGTAGCTATTGGCTAACATGGCCCGAGAAAAATAGGGTGAACGCAATTTCTAGATAGCCTTCCTCATAATTCAGTGAGCCCATGGGATCCGGATCCGTGGCGAAAGCGAGTCTTCTCAGGGCAATTGTCACCGCCTCACTGCCGAAGAATTCCAATTTTAATTTACCGGCCCCTTCTTCCAAAGCTCTAATCCGTGCACCAGAACAAAATCTTGATACGGAAGGAATCATTAATTGCCTCTTTACAATTATCACAGTGACTGTGGATCGGTCCTGTTTATCAATTTACGGGGAAAATATGGCAGCAGCTGCTGCTGCTGCAGAAGGAATGGTGGACAAGAACAAGAACAATAACAACAGTGGTGGATATATGAAGCACTGTGTTTGTCCTGGACTGGCACCATGAGAGGGCAGCAGCAGTAGAGAGGAGAGGAGAGCCGAGGTAAATGGTCAAAAGGGGGGGTGCATAATTGTGATCAGTATATTCCGAGGCAACTGGAGTGCTGGTAAGTTTGGAAACTGGGATTTTCGTTACATATTACCATCGCGATCTGGATCTGGAACTTATCGATCGATCCCATTGAGCATCAGACTGACTGACAGACAGACTGACTGACCGACAGAGGGATTGTTTGTCTGTCTGTCTGCTGGGTTGCGGACAGATCTCTCTCTCTCGCAGGCTTTAAGAAGGAGGAGGAGCTAGATCTGCAACCCTGTCTTATGAAACCCCTGCGCCTGTTCGAGAAGTACATCTGCATCAGCGCTCTGTATCTCATCTGCAGGTTGGAGCCGTCCGACAACTTCAAACGCCATCCTCTGAAATCGTGTCAGGATGCCAACCTTCGAGACCGAAGTTGAGTTGGCCGTGCCCGCCTCCCGTCTCTGGACCACTCTGGTCAATGCCAACTCCATGTTCCCCAAGATCGCCCCACTCTTCATCAGCAGCATCGACGTCGTCGAGGGTGCGGTCGGCCAGATTGGCGAAGTCACTCTCGTCAAGCTCGGCCCAAGTACGCTCTCAACTCTCAACTCTCCTCCTCCTCCTCTTCTTGCTGCTTCTCTCCTCGCCATCTGACGGCTGCACGAATCTGATTCGAAGAATAGACGAACTGAATTTTCAGTCTGCACTCAGTGAATTGAATGCGTCATTTGAAATTTAGCTGGTCTGAATCTGGAAAAGGAAGTTGTGGTCCAGAAGAGACTCAGGCTCACACTACACGGATGGACTTTGAATGCAGCAAACCGAAAATTATAGCACTGAGTGCCGAGTCCAGCTAGCTCCAATGAAAATGGCGTGGCTGTGAAGGTCCATGGAGCGAAGTGTTGCGGAATTGGTTGCATGCATTGGGTGCAGTGGGATTCATGCCATTGATGTTGGAACGGTGAGCTGGAATTGAATGGATTTGGTTTGGTTTGTGCAGTTGCACCTGATGGAGCTTTCGTGAAGGAGAGGAGGGTGGAGATCGACCACGGCACGATGACCATGGCGTCGGAGGAGCTGGCAGGAGGACATCTCGCGGTGGGATTCAGCAAGTGGATTGCGAAGCTGAGGCTGGAACCGATCGGCACGGACAAGGTCAAGCTCTGCTCGAGCGTGGACTATGAAACCGAGGGCGACTCGGATGTGAGCCTTGCCATCACGCAAGCCAAGGAAGGGCTGCCCATGCTGTTCCACTCGGTCGAGCAATACCTCGCCAGCACTGCACCTTAACCTGCAATCATGGCCCTGCTCAGGTACCGCACGCTCACTTCAGCTCAGCTCGCTGGAAGGCTGCAGATCTGCGCAGTTGCAGCCCCACAACCGCTGTCACATGAGTTTGGAGACAAACAAGAATGAAAAACAATCCATCAGTCCATCCATCGAGCGATCGATCTATCGACCGATCAGTCGGATGGTCTGCTTTGGTTCACGGCACGGCGTGCCAGATCTACTAGGAAACTTCAGGCGTGATCGAGCTCCAGAGTCAAATTATCACCTTTCTGTGCAAGCCTGTTCGTATTGTTCACTATAGCAAAAGGTTATAGGGCGTGTTTCGATCCAGTTCTGGACCCTCAGCTTTCAGATCTTTTGTACATACCACATTTTTCTTGCAGTGCATTACGCTGGCCCATATGTCAGATGCATGGATGTCATCATCTCTCCGTGGCTGCGATAGCTCAGGCTATGCCACCGGTCTTAGGCCTGCTTTGGATCTGTTGTATTCGACTATCTTAAATTACGGGAGCCTCCACTCGCACTTGCACATTCGCAATTGACACTTTCTTATCTATCTATCGCCCAAGTCCACATCCTCGCTCTTGGTGTAGATCCATATTCACCCGTAGAAATAAATGTGCTAGTCTGAGGTTTCTAATAAGTCACATTGTGCCGTTTCTCTCGCTGTTTCATCTTGTCACACCGTACCTTCTGCCGTGTTTTGCTACCCCATATTGCTGCCTCATGCCTTCGGGTCACTTCTCTCTGAAGGACATCAGATAAGTCCAACAAGAGGAGACGGGGGACTAGAATATACAGTCGTCGTGTGGAGACAGTATTACTGAATTCCATCTCAGGTACAACAAGCAAATTTACAAAAGCTATTACAAAATGCAGGGAATGAGTCTGCTTTCGAAACTTCGACCACGGGTTGGAACGAGAACATCTGTGGAAATTCGCCATCTATCTTATGGCAGTTCCTAAACATGTGATCGGCCATGATGGAATTGATTCAAGGAGCAGCAGTAATTCCACCTTTATCAGTGTTGTGGAGTAAATCAGTTCATGCATGGGCTTTTCAGTAAACAGGTTCTGCTTTCTTCACTTCGTCTGGACTTACCCTTCTCTTGTAAACAAACGTTTCCAATTTTACTCTGTACAACGTCCATATGTCTAGATTTACTGTCCTTTTTACTTTACACCTTTCGTTTCAAGAGGCAGTCTTTGCACTCATGAGAGTAAGCAAATTTGCACACCATTTTGACTTAGAGTTCAAGTATGGTTGGAGACTCAGCTTCATATTACTTGGATAAGGATTACTTGTGAAGAGCTCAAATTGTGTTTTGGCCAGATTATATGTACCTCATTTTGGGTGCTCCAAAATCTTGAGATGAGATGTTTTTCAGCTCTTCAGGTTTTCGCGGTTTTGATGTGGGCAAATTTCGGTGTGCACAAAATCTTAAACAGGCCAGAAGGCCTAGCTTGGTTTTGATTTCTTCTAGTCTATTCGAATGGGAGCGAATTGGTCCTTCTGGCAATTACATGACATCCATGAAGCTCGGACTAATTGAAGCATGGAAGCCCACCGATCCATACAAAAAAACCGAGCCTCAAAATATGAGTCATCTAGTCACCAAAGAGAAGTCCAATACACAGGAACAAAACGAAACTCTCAATTTGTGTTGAGGAACGTACAGAGGTCATGATTAGGAACTCTGAAAGTCGAGCTCTTTACATTAAGTCTCCCACGCACATAGTCGTGGGCTTTTTCTCAGTATAAAAATATTACCTCCACATCGCATGGAGACTTGCTCTTTAACAAATGCACCAAGGATAAGAGAAATGAGATTCTTCATTCCTAGCATCGAATTTATATAAACACTTTCTCATTTGGATTCTAAATTATACATACATCGTATGAAGGTATCTCAAGCAGTTACTCTCTTTATTTCGAGTAATGTCGATTGAGGATCGGGAAATGTGGATTGAATCAACTCCCTTACGCCCACCCTGGTTGCACAAACAAGAAAAAATGGGCAGAAGCTGAAAGAGGGAAGGAAAGAATAAGCCTATAACGGGATACCAAGCGAAGAAGTGATCCAATCCGGCTGTGTTTGGTAAAACCCACGCCTCATGCGACGCTATGGCGAATTTGAGAGCGAGAGAGGTATGGAGACCGAAAGGAGGTCGAAAATTTGAATGGATCGGGAGTTTTGGTGCACCTGAAAGACGAAATAACACTTGCGCGCAGTGAAAGTGCCTGGATTTTCAAGACCGAGCGCAAGAGAGATGGAGGGAGCGGAGAGCTCAGACGTAGAGGTTGCTCAGCTTCGAAGCTTAAATTGTGGTCTAATTACCTCAGCTGCCTGATCAATTCATAGCACTAACTCCAGTTTGCCACACAACCTTACTAGCGCAAATAGCTTGATTTATTTCGAACGGTGTGCATATGAAGGCCCACAGGAATGCGGTGCGAGTTGCTTTAGTAGGTTGAACTCACACTATGGCAGGACCCCATTTAACTAATATAACTTAGATTCAGAGTCCAAAAGTTTCAAATATCGATACAAGATTAAAGTGTATTTTTTGGCGATTTTATTGAACTCCATGACAACCATGGCTGCATATTTGGCATTATGAACGGATCAAGGATCTTCATTTCCATCACTATAAAGCTTTGCTTCGCTTGGAAAATGATTTCTAATGTAAAGTTCATCATGCCATGTCAAAAGTCGTAATCATCTCATTTCAAAATGTTGAAATCGGATTCAACGTCCGTCAAAAGCACGAAAAACGTAGCAAAAGCTCTCTCCAATCCACCACTCAACATTTGTAACGCAACAAAACAATACTTCAAGACATCCCAATCCTTGTTGAAGGACGTACTTTGATCTTGGTAATCGATAATTGTTTGGCTGTGAGATTCACGCCACTAGGCATTGCATAGTGTTTGTTGATATTTGTCTCTGAAGTATATCTTCTCAATGGGCCAACACTTGTCCAACCGCGCTAGATATTTATAGAGCACATCGTAGATGAAATCACATGGTTTCAGGTTCACAAGTTCGCGAGGCATCACATGCGAGTCTGAGTTTGTTAGTGACCAGGTTGTTGTGGTCGAGCTCGGCACTGACGCACGTCATCCCATTAGTTAATTTCAATCGGAACCTCTTTCAACGTGCATGTTTGATCAATCACGCCTAAGACTTGCAACACAGCATGAACCCATTAGTCTTGTCAAAAAATTTGGGGCTCCACGTTCTCAATTGACATACTGCAAAAGCAGTAATTTTGCAAGTTTTAGATTGTTGTCTAACAATTAAATATTAATTGATAAAATCAAGCGGATAGACAAACTGTCAATCTTGATTTTTAAGATTTAGGGTTTTTGAAGATTGTAGAGTGACTAAGGTGATGTTGAAGAGGTCAAGTAATGCTCAAAACGCGACCATCATTATCTGTCGTCTTGAGTTTATGTAGTACATTTCTCATCAATACAAACCAGGGGACAACCGTGTTGTTAGAGCATTGAAAATAAAATATGCTGAACCTGAGTACATCAATTCGTTTCTTTTGAACACGCACTTTTCATTTCCAGTTTCAAATTCTACTTACGGTGTAAATGAACTCTGAAATTGTGAAGAGTCTTGTAGAATAATCCATCATCATTATCGTCCCTCATTAGGTCGACTTTGTCGTCAAGGATAGTTCTCATTTGATAAACACTCCTTGACAACAAAGTCGACTTGATGAGGGCCGCACTAAATCCGCATCAAATCGAAGTCAGTCTCCTTATCAATTTGAATCGTAACAGTATAATGTCGTATTGCCATTTTGTTCTCACATTTGATGATAAAAGCAACAAACAGTTCTCCTGGACATTCTATTTCGAAAAGAAAAGTAAGCAGGTTTTGAAGACCAACTTATCTCAATAGATCTGAATGTATTATAAAATTGATGTACATGACTCCAATTCTTGTGTCTTGGGAGAATAATATTCATTCAAGCTTTGATCATATATTATTCTCTCTTGTTGAATTTTACGAGGAAGACATTTAGGATAAATGGATAAATCCAATCACGGAAGAATATTTCCATCGCGGATAACAGGTCTTCAATACTGTACACATCGGTGAGCTACAGCACCAGCAAATAGTAAAGCTAAATCAGGTGGTTCTGCACAATGTATGAATTCTGGCCTGCATAGCTGCTGCCTATTACCGGAGCACGAGTAAGCGAGAAGCGACTAAAGACCATGTCCTAAGGTAGCGATAACCCGACGAGATCAGAGTCCTGCGACCCCTCTTTGCCTTATCGCCTTTTGGAGCGATTTTGAGTGCCTCGAAACCTGCAAATTGTGCGTGAGCATTATTTGATGAGCGTAGGCCACCAAGTTGGGAAATAATCGCATTTCCACTGTCGTCCACTATACGACAGTGGAAAATGTCACGTCATCACTCTGCACGCTATTGTTGACTGATCAGTGGACTATTGAATGTGAGCGATGACAAAAAAATGTCATCGATAGCACTTCTGCAAAGATTGATAATAACACAGTTGTTAGTTTGTATTATTTTTGATCCACGGAAAGGCAGTGGTTGAATAGATAGATCTATACACCATCAAGGAATAAGAATATGTAGTACATCTGATGAACAGTTCTCCTGGACATGGCATCATTCTTCCAACACTGAATGAGAAACCATAAGGCACGCCAGGATTCATACAGAGATTATAAGTGAGGCCTTTGTGTGGACATCTAACATCTGGGCAGCGTAGCGACTGTCTGTAACCCGAGCGGGAGTAAGAGAGATGGGAGCTGGGGCTCTCGCAGAGGACCGCTGCGATCATGTCGAAGGCACGTCCACTCGAAGCGTGGAGTCTCTGATCTGGGCTCCTCGGCGGAAGCCAGGGGATTCTGGGGGGATAATGTGGAGGGCACAGCGTGAGGCGGGCGACCGAGCAGCGACCACTTCCCGCTCTGCGCAGTCGAGGGCCAGCGTGCTTGAATGCCTGTCAGCGATCATCCGATGCGAGCAGCTTCCTGCAACCTCTCTCTAATCTTCTTTTCGCTTGCGGTCGAATATGATGAGCATATGTATATATAGCATAGGAGATCGCAAGCTGTGAGTAATGTTTAGAAGGTGAGATTTGGCTTTGGAAAGTGCATGAAACTTTATGATGTCTAAGCCTTGATTATCGGAGGCATTGAATTATTGACTTATCATAGGTCCACTGCATAAAATTATGTCCACTGAATCCTAGCAGGAATGAGATCGAAAAGAACTACCTTTACATATGATCATCGAGACCTGAGTTTCTCATCGTGCACATTCCTTTTATGCCACGGGAGCTTTCAAAGCTGAACCTGTTCAAACTTACGGACAGCAAAGCCAGGAGAAAGTGAATCTGCAGACCCGAGGCCTGATTGACCTGAGGGCCTGATTGGCCCTCAATGTGAGCTGCACGCCATCAAAGCAAACGCAGAAATTCGTACTCATACAATTCAGCAGTGTCTGCAATAGAACATCCACAATGCTATCATTGAGCAGCTCTCTCAACATAACTGCGTTATTAGCTAGCAAACGAAATATATAAACTGTGATCAACCACGAATAGACAAGCTCTAAGATTGGTCTATCATGGCTTATACCATCGCTACATCATGATATTGATTGATATATACCGAGTAGTATCGAATATCACATCTCTGATTGGATCATGGATAACTATACCGTGAAATAGGAATGTCCTTGCTACAATCCACGGTATATATGATCGTTGATATTGGTTGGACTTGTGGGTGCCTATAGCCAATCTGGAGGGAGAAGGATGGAAATCGGGGTTCTTGTTGTCCCCTGGTATCATGTTGAGGACACTCTGGTCTGGGCTCCTGTGCGGAATCGAGAGGAGTCTGGAGAGATGATGTGGTGGAAGGCACAGCGTGACCAGGCTCGCTGTGCCTTCCACCTCATCATCTTTCCAGACCGAGCGCAGGCAAGGGACAGCATGCTTGTCCGATCCAAGGACTGGTGGATGTGATCACTGATCGCAGGTTTCCTTCACATCAAGCTTGCGAACCGAAAAAACTAATGTGGTTACGAATAAG